ATATATGTATATATTATGTGTATATCATATAACATCTATTATATTATATATATGAGATAGTTAAGATAGTTATACTACTAATTTCTCTTAGTTCATTGAAAAGAAAGTTTTATGCTAATACTGTTTAGACAATTAAATGCAGATATCTTTGTTCTGAGTAACCTAATTTAAAGATAACAATATGCAATGTTTTAGCCATTTTTACCCTCTAATTATCTTGTTTTGAATTTTTTCTCTTTAAAAAAAGCTGTAAGTCTATAAATGGAGTGAGGTTTCTTTTGTGGGTAATGAGAATGTTTTAAAATTGATTTCACATGTGAGGGCCACACAATTATCTGATATACTAAAGCCACCCAGGCTGGTGTCTGAGAGCCTGAGTGGGTGCGGAACGCCATGTGCGGAGGATGGTCACAGGGAAGGTGGCTCCGTTCCTGCTGGGAAGGTGGTCACATGAGTACGCACACTGAGGAGAATGGAAGCCAGGTTTAAGAGAGGGGGCTTGGAGAAGCCACCTCTGAGTACTCACGAGCACATCTACCATCCAGATCCATTTCTAAACACTATCTGCACCAGGCAGGGTTCTTCATGCCTGTAATCCTCGTATTCTGGGAGGTCAAGGCAGGAAGATCACAAATTTGAGTCCAGTGTGGGTAATTTAGTGAGAACTTATACAAAATTAAAAAACCAAAAAAAATGTCTGGGGATGTGGATCAGTGTGAAGACCCTGGTTTCAATTCCAGTGCCATAATACAAAATAGAGAAAAAAATCACCATTTGCCAGTAAAGGACATGTAGTCTCCTTGGAGAAACAGGGAACATTTCTCCAAGGGCTGGGGAACGTGAACCTGGAACAGTCACCCTGTTAGAAAGAACTAGAACGGTGGAGCTATGTCAGAAGGATGCAGAGACCAGATTTAGGAGGCACCTGGTGGCCAAAACAGGGACAATTTGGGGAACAAATTCATAAATTATTGGAATACACTATAACCCATTTACGAACAGGAATACAAGCCTCCATACAAATTCATGTGTGGAAAAACTGATGAGAAAATAATTATTTACTTAATTTCTAAGTATTTAACCACAAAATATCTATTATTACAAATGCAAAAGCATAATTTAAAAGTGAAGAGACCTATATTTGTAGCAATACAACTCATAACAAATAGATCTTGGGAGCAGCCTATGTGCCCATTAATAGGTGAATGGATAAAGAAAATGTGGTGTTTATACTCCATGAAGCTCCACTCTGCAATGAAGAAGGACAAATTTGTGTCATGTGTAGGAAAATGAGGCACCTTGAAACCATAATGGTAAGTGAAATAAATCAGACATACAATATTAAATATTGCAAAATTTCTTTTATAAAAAGCCCAAAGAATTTAATATTTTTTATTGGTACTGGGGATTGAACCCACAACCATGCACTTACAAGGCAGGCGCTTATGCTGCTGAGCTAAATCCCCAGCGAATTAAATAATTTTTAAAAACCAAAATAAAAGATAGGCAATAGGAATCAGGAAAATCCATCTTTTCAAATGGAAATGGAACCCAGAGATAAAAGGAACGAGAAAGGAGAGGAGGGAACGGGAATAAGAAACATTAAGTACCTATACCCACTCTGGCTTCGGTCTAGATGTCCCCCAACGCCTCATGCCGTCATGGGAGGGTCTTCTTCAGAGGTGGCTGAATCTGGTGCATGACGCTGGGGATTAAGGGTGGGTGATCACTAAATCAGTCCACTGATTGGTTTGGCACCATCCCAATCCCAGCATTCTGCATACAAAATAAGGGACAAAAGAGGCTTGTCTTCCTCCTGGCGTGTTTTGCTATCTTCTGCCTATCACGAGCTGTTTCTCTTCTGTAATGCTACACCCGGCTGCCCTGGAGCCACACCCCCTGCCCTGGAGCGAGCTGATTATAGATTTAAACTTCTACAAAAGTTTAGGGGCTGGGGATTTAGCTGAGCGGCATCGCCTCCCTTGCAAGCAGGCAGTTATGAGTTTGATCCCCGGTACCGATAAAAAGGAAAAAGACAAAAAAAAAAAAAAAAAAAAAAAAAAAAAACTTCTACAAAGTTTAAGTGAGCTAAATAAACCTTTAACCTTGGCTGTTAGGTATTTTTGTCTCAGCAATGAGAAAATAACTCAGACATACTCCCTAAGATTAATTGCAAATATGTATTAGTTTTTAAAAAAGCATGGTGGCACATGTCTATAATCCCAGCTTTGGAGAGGTTGAGACAGGATGATTGCTATGAGTTCAAGGCCAGCCTAGGCTACATAGAGAGTTCAAGTTCAGCCTGAACTACAGAGCAAGATCCTGTCTCAAAAACAGCAGCAACGAAAGAAAGAAAGAAGGAAAGAAAGAAAGAAAGAAAGAAAGAAAGAAAATTCTAGAACTCTGAGTGGCCTAGACAGGAAGATTGTAAATTTGACTACAGCCTGGGCAACGTAGTGATTTACCGAGAACTTGTGTCAAAATAAAAAATAAAAAAGAGCCGGGTATATTGTTCAGACCAAAGGTCCTGGATCCAATTCTCAGAACCTCAAAAACAAACCAAAAACCTCAAACAAACTGGGCGGGTGGTGGGTGGGGAAAAACTGGCTATGACTGGCTTCCCCACAGGACACACCCATATCTTCATCCCCAGAACCTGTGAACATTATCTTCTGTGGAAAAGGAGCCTTTGCAGATATAATGAGATGAGGAAGTCGTTTTAGGTGATCCAGAAGGGCCTTAACTCAGTGGCAAGCATTGGAGGAGACCCACAGAAGAGAAGCCTGCAGGTAATGGTGATGAAGAAGGACACACAGAGCAAAATGAGGAGGAATTCCCACCACAGAATGCTGACCGCCACCAGGAGCTGCAAGAGGCAAGGAGCAGAGTCTCCCCTAAACCCGCAGAGACGGCACGGCCCTACTGACACCTTGATTTCACCTTCTGGCCTCTAGACCTATGAATGATAAGTTTCTGTCCTTTAAACTCACCAGTGTGAGGCAATTTGTTACAGTAGCTGCAGGAAAAAATACAGGGCAGACATCACCTTAAGTGAGTAAGTAACAGGAAAAATCAAAATAATGGAGCACTTGATGGGATGCAGAAAAGGATGCAGCATTACTTCTGTGACATTCCTGACGAAGAAACAAACCAAAATCTGCTCATGAGAATACATCAGACAACCTCAGAGTGAGGGTCATTCTAGAAAATAACCAAACTCTAACTTGTAAAAGTGTATTAAGATCTTGGGGCTGGAGACATAGCTCAGTCATTACCCTGTTAAAGTACCTGTCAGGGTCCTGAGAATGACGGCAAAAGTGAAGAACTCTTCAAGATTTAAGAAGGATAAAGACACACTCAGTGATAAGTTCTGGATAGGATCTTTCTGTTATAAAGTACGTTCTTGGAACAGTGGCCAGAATTTGAATGGCCAAACTTTGAGGGTTAGATAGTGGTAATATAGCAATGTTAATTTCCTAATTTTGATGGCTGTATTGTAGGAGACTGTCCTTCTTTGTTGGAAACACACACTAACTTATCTAAGTAGTGAGGCACACTCTACTGGTGATTTTTGTGTGTGTGTGGTGGTGGTGCTGTCCTAGAGACTGGACACAGCCCTGAGCTACATCCTCAGCTTGTTTAATTTTTTATTTTGATATAGGAGGGTCTTATTAAAATTCCCAGGTAGGACTCAAATTTGGAATCTTTCTGCCTCAGCCTCCCTAATGCTGTGATCACAAGAAAATACTGTCATACTCAGCTGATTATTTATTTATTCATTTTTGTCTTTTTGAGACAGGATCTCACCATGCAGTTTAGGCTGGCTTTGAGCTCACTTTGTAGCCTAGGCTGGTCTCGAACTCACAATGATCCTCCCACTTCAGCCTCCCAAGTGCTAGGATTACATGCCTGTGCCACCATGCCCAATTTGGTATGATTCTTAAACATTTGGGGTGGGAGAAGTTCTGTATGACATACTTTCCAATTTTCTGGAATTTGTATTCTTTGAGAAAATATTGTTGTGTGGTGGCAGATGTCAGTTATCTCAGCACTGGCGAGACTAAGGCAGGAGGCTTGTTCCTGGGCTACACAGTGAATTCAAGCCTAGCCTGAACTGCATAGCGAGACCCTGTCTCATCCCCTCCCAATTTTGTTTTTACTAAAAAATAAAAAAGAAATAAGGCATGGTGGTACACACCTGTAATCCAACACTAAGGAGGTTTAGGCAGAAGGACTGCACAAATTTGAGGCTACCCTGGACCATATAGTCAGTTCAAGGCCAGCCTGAACCACAAAGCTACCTGTCTCAAATTGCAACACTCAGGAGGCTGATTGCCATGAGTTTGAGGCCAGCCTGGACTAATAGCAAGACCCTGTGTCAAAAAAAAAAAAAAAAAAAAAAAAAAGAGAGAGAGAGAGAGAAAAGGATTCCAACCACACATATAAATACAAATATTGCCACAGACTGGAAGGCGTACACACTGGGAAAGAAATTCACAACTATGATATAATTTTAAAAAATTTAAGTGATACAGTTGATATTAACGAGGAAGGCTTCTTTGTAAGACTGAGCCTATGTGCTTACATTTGTTTCTTTCTTTTGTTTTGGTTTTTAAAGACAGGGTCCCCCTATGTAGCCCAAGCTGGCCTTGCACTGGTGGCCATCTTCCTGCCTCAGCCTCCCGAGTGTAGGGATCACAGGCACGGGTCACCACACCCGTTTGTGCTTATATTTTCTGAGTTTACGTCAATAAACACACACGAGGGCTTAATATTCAGCAGGCACTGAGCTGGCCTAGATGTATTGGAAAAAGTAACAGTGCTGGCCTGCAGCCACAGGAAAGGATATCATGGGGTGCTGACAAATGCTCGCGGGAGACGAAGGACTGGGTGTGCAGGGGTGCGGGTAACACGAACTCCAAGAGAGCGACGCGTCAGAGTGAGGGACGCCCGGAACATGCCACCCCCCCCCCAAACAGCAATGCTCAAGGCCTCCCTGGAAGACGCTGGGGCCCACCCGGAATGGAGCCCTGGGAGAGGAATGCGGAGAATTCCACAGCACGTGGGCGGTTGGTGGCAGCTTCGGCTCAGTCCTGCGAGAGGAGACCTGGTCCCAGAGAGCAGCTCCAGGACAACCTCCAGGGGACAGTGATGGACCAGGCTGCCACGCGGGACTCCGACAGGAGCCCAGAGCGGTGCTGCTCGACCTCACATCCTCCCGGCTGCGTGGAGGGCCCCTGGAGCTGGTCCCAATCTGTTTCCTTCTATTCTTCGACAGGAAGCTCCAGGAGAGCCGGCCCCCACCCCACCCCGCCCCTGCACGCCTGCCCTTCCCCGCGATGGACAGAGCCTGCACTGAGTGGCTGCCCGCCGGCCACACAGCCAGCTGACATGGGCACCCGCAGAGCCGCGCCGCTGCGCTGGGCCATCCTGGGCTTGCTGATGCTCCGAGGTAAGAGGGCGCCTGCCGCGGTCCTCCAGGACACCCACCACAGGGGTCCCCATCCAGGATCCCTTCCCACAGCCCTTCCTGGAGGGAATCAGTGGAAGGGAATTTCCAGGCAGGGCTGAACAGAGATGTTTAATCCCATTTGTGGGAGGATTTCCAGGGTGAACAAAGGTTGCCCCCCCAGTGGTGGGAAGCCACTGTCTGGATGTGAGGCTCTTTGCAGGAGATGTGCAGGCCTGGCTACTACGGTCACTCTCCAGACTATTCTGGCCTCAGACTGCCTGCATCTTGGCCTTAGTGGTGGTCTTTAATTTGGGAATTCTGAACGCTGACTTTCAGCTCAAATCACAGGAGGCCCTCGGATGAGATCCAAAGCACTCCTGACTGATCCAGGAGGGCAAATAACTTAGTTCTTGCCCGGGCTGTCAGCTGAGAAGACTGCTGGGGGCAGATGCCTTGGAAGCAACAGCTCTCAGGGCACAGCCAGCACTCGGGACCTCTCCCTGGGAAGCAGCCTCTGGGAACCGTGAGAAGTCCAGGACTCTGTGACTCACAGGCAGCAACTTCCCTTGGGCCGTTCTCACCCCCGGTGCTCTGCGACAGATTTATGAGGCTGTGCTTAAAGCAGCAGAGAATACAGGAGAGCTCTGGTGTCTCGGTGTTGGTGGACTGAGGATCATTTGAGTATATTTGTACCCACAAAGGGCCTACTAATGAAGAGTCAGGGTAGACAGGGGATCCAAGAGAATCAGGCAAAAATTAAGATGTCTGGCAGTGACTGCACTGGATTAAGTGCTGGCCTTGAGCTCACTTTGTAGCCCAGGCTGGTCTCAACTCACAAGGATCCTCCCACCTCAGCCTCCCGAGTGCTGGAATTACAGGCGTGAGCCACCATACCCAGTTTTTTATACACATTTTCTTTCCCTCATAATTTGTGAAGTACTGATACTGGCTCTGTGTGTGTGTGTGTGCATGCGCGCGTGCACGTGTGTGCTAGAAATCCACCCCAGAGCCTTGTCGCTGCTAAGCACACGTGCTCTGCCACTAAACTGCATCCCTGGCCTCTCACTTGCATTCTGAGGAACAAAAAGCTAAAGCCCAAATCAGACACTGAGTGACTGAGCTAGGATTTCAATCTAAAAAATGATACTCGGACTGGGAGATGAAGTTCAGTGTGAAGATCCTGGGTTCAATTCCCAGTATCACAAATTAATTCATTCATTAAAATCTATGATTTTTAACTATGCTGCTAAAAACAGGGAAATGGAGGATTAGATGGGAAGGAAATAAAACAGGTCGGGATTAGGAAGTAGAGACCAGAGAAAGTCTTGTGGCCACAGTTCTTTGTGTCTATATGCTCAGTGGTTCAAGAACCCAACCTACTCCCTGTATCCCTCTCCTACTCACAAAGAATCCTCACAGGTGACAAGTTGTGGAGGGGGAGTCACGGAAGCAAAGAGAAGGCAGGCAACTGAGGCTTGATGTTGTGACTTCGGAAATCCTCCCATGCTGCTAGATAGTTTTTCCCCTAGATAAATGCAGAAAAGCGGTACATTGTGACTTCCCATCACTAATGGCACTTAGATACTTCTGTGCCATGGTATCTAAGTAACTAAGAGTGTTCAGGATATGACTGGGATGAGAGGGGCTTCCCCAGGGCCGTACCCAGAAGGAAAAGGCCGTCTTTGGCTGGGGATTCCTACAAGCCTTAACTCTCTTCTGGACTCTCCACCTGCAAGAAATGGGGCTCTGAGAGATGTCATCTGGAAAAATGTGGCCCAGGGCTTGGGCAGGCGTGGGTTCGCAAACAATGAATTCTCCACTATCCGAATGATAACCCCATGGAGAAGGCAGTGGTTTAAGGAAAATAAACAGACTGCACCGGCTGCTGCAGGCTGGGGTGGGTCCCTGGCACGCAGCCACCTCCATCCAGTCAGGCCACGGTGCAGTGCTTCCCTGGCAAGGAGAGGTCGAGCCCAGTGGAAGCACGGGGACCCAGCTGGGCGGCTCCGCTTCCCACGCTGTTTGCCTTCACATTGTTCACAGGTTTCAAGAATGATTTCAGTGTGGAAAGCGAGCAAACACAACCTGACCTTTCAGGTCCCACACACGCTGTGGGACACACAAGCATGCACACATCTGCAGAGGGGCCCAGAGACAGCCATATACACACAGAACCACTAATGAGGGCTTCCAGCAGGGATTCTTGTTGAATTCTCTGCTGGTTTAGCCAACGGTGGTCATTTCCCACTAGCTTCTGCCTGCCAGAGTAAACTGGCAGCTCCTCCCAGAGTGTCCTCGCCTCTTGCACGTTCTTGGAACTTGCTTCCAGTATGAGCCCCTACCTCCTGCTGGGGGGGCAGAGATAACTTCATACAAACACAAACTGTATCTTATTCATCTCCCCATTGTCCTCTTCCCTCCCTGTAAGGCAGAACCAGGATGATAATCTTCACAGAGGAAAAGGAATGGCCCAGCAGTGGCATAGGATAAGCATACATCTAGAGACTTGGAGTCTTGGGATCTTGTCCAGACATAGCAGGTCATTGGCCCTCTCTCTGTGGACATGACACTAACAACCTTTCCCTGATTTTTTGCTGTGGTACCCATAGAGGACCGAAGAGACTGGAAAGGCCTGGGCCTTGGAACCCTAAGGCTGTGGTAATGGTGCACCTGAGTCACAGTCTCATAGGAAGTCAGCGCCATAACTTCCTTTTGACCTCTGCTGAGTATTTCTGCTTTCCAGCGTGGGGAGTTTAAACAGCCACAGGGCCTAGGATGCTGGGCAGGAGACTTCCCAAGCAAGTCTGTGTGTTTTGCTTTCTCTTGTAGGCCACAACTCCCAGCCCATGACAACTCCGACTTCTCAGGGTAAGGGGGAACTCAAGGGCCTACTCCAGCATTTGGGCCTAGGAGTTTAGTGTGGTATGAGAAGCTCTAGGCCCGTGAGCTCAGGAGCCTGGGCCTGGGCCAGAGCTCTTAGGGGCTCATCTGAGGGGTTGTTTTCTGGCATGCCCTGAAAGATGAGAGACGGATGATTGAGGATCGAGGGGGAGTAGGGAGAAAAACCAGATAATATCGGATGAAAGAAGGGAGGGGCATAGAACAATGAGAGAGGACCACTCAGCCTTCATGATCTGTTTCAGGAACCCTCAGCAGTCAGAGTCTGGTCACAGAGCCGACTTCTCCAACCACAGGTGTGTGCGGGTACCTGCAGGGGCTCATACCTCCTCCCTTCCCCCCGGCCAAGGGCTGGAGCCCAAAGGTTCTCAGATGGGCAAAGGAGTGTGGTGTCAGCAAGCCTGCCTCATCTTCAGTTCTTTCTGTCTTTGCAGGAAACAAATCTTCCTCAGAGCCTGGCACCCCTAAGCTTCTTTTGTCCAGCACCAGAACCCCAGGTACTCAGCTGGTGAGACTACAGATGCCACCCAGGAAGGGCCCAGCGTGTGGGGGAAGCTGACCTCATGGTTCACAGGAGAATGTAGACAGGGCAGAGGGACAAGCCATTAAGAGCTCCACACTTGTCCTTACAAACAGGGGCAGCTGAGGCCAGCCTCCTCTGACTTGGGGACCAGGGACATTCCCAGATGGAGCGGCTTCTGAAGCCTAGCTCTGGAGGGAAGTGGAAGGTGGAGGGTGGAGAAACGGGTAGAGGGCCAGAGGTAAGCCAAGAACAGCCCCTTCCGGAATTGGAAGCAGTAAAGAAAAGGAGGATTTGGGGCTACTGAGCCCCCCTGTGCAAGTGCCCGCTGAGTCCCTGAACAGGTCGCTCATGCTCCCTGACCCGCAGCACCTACACAGAAGGCCTCACCTGGCCCTCTGGTGTCGAGTAAGGCTGGAACACCTAGGGCAAGCACCGAGGATGGGCACGCCCTGTCCCTGCTGGGCCTGACCCAATCCCAGCCGCAGAGGAGCACATCAGAACTTGGTGAGTACCCAGGGCAGGTGATAGGAGGTGAAGCATCCTCGGTTATGCCTGGGTGGGTTCCTTCTTCCCCTCCTCAGAAGCCCCAGGTGCTAGTGGCCTGAAGCTAAGAGCCACATCAATGGTGCCTTGGCTTGTGAGAAACAGAGGTTTCAGCAAAATAGAGATAGAAGGTTGGGCCTGGGCACAGTAAAGGTAAACCAAGTCTGAACTTAGGACTGAAAAAAGCATAAAAGGGAGAAAAAAAGAGGGGTGGGGCAAGGAAACCCTAAAAGGAAGAGCAGGGAGGCAGAAAGTGTAGAGGAAGGCCCAGCCTCTCCTCAGGGCAGGCTCAGGAGACAGGTCTGCACCCCCCCACCGCCGCCATCTTGGCCACTGGTTTTAGGTGCAGGCAAAGGCACCTACGGAACAGCAGAGCTAGCACAAGAGGAGGTGTTCACAATAAAGAGGAGTGTTGTGACATGCCTAACCTTTTCTCTCAGCTATCCTGTGGCTTTGGATTTTTAACACTCCCAGAGTTATATCCTTCTGTCTCAGGCTCCCAAGTACCAGATTACAAGCATGTACCACTATGCCCAGCTTCTCTTGTAGGCTGAGTCAGTCTCCTTCACTGATGCGCCAAACCCCACTCTTACTCAGTATATATGCTGCTGAAGTGAGCACTCCCCATTCTATTTCAGAATCATCTCAAAATGCTACTCCCAATGCAATCACCATGAGCCTGAGGACAAGGGGAGACTTGACCATCCTGCCCAGCCCCACGTCAGAAACGGTGCTCACTGTGGCTGCCTTTGGTGAGAGAGGAGGGGAAGGTGGGAGTAGGAGAAATCCCTACCCTGGAATATGTTTTCATGATTAGGATGTAACTCAGGGCCTCGTCCATGCTAGGCAAGAGCTGTTCCTCTAGGCTACAGCCCTAGACCTAATCCCTGGAAATGACCTGGACTCTGGACCTGGGAATACAAGTTCAAATCTCATCCATTGACTCTGCTGAGTTTCTTTTTCTCCTTCTGTCTTCTGTCTCTCCATCTATTTTCTCTGTCTGTCTCTGTCTTTCTGTCTCTCTGTCTCTGTGTGTGTGTGTCTCTCTCTATTAGTGCTGAGGATGTAACATGGAAGCCAGGGCTTATACATGCTAGGCAAGGGCTCTAGCATGTGTCACATCCCCCCTTTTGCATTATTTTGAGATGGAGTTTTGCTAGAATGCTCAGGCTGGACTTGAACTTGCAATCCTCCTGGCTTGGCTCCAGCACAGCTGGGATTACAGGCTTGTGGGCCTCTGTCTGCCTGGCCTCTGTGTTGTTTTGGGAGGGTAGAGCTGGGTGAGGAGCTCACCCTGGTAGGAACAGCACATTGATAGCCATTTGTTCAGCAGAAAACTGGAATTCCCTTTGCTCCCAGAGCCTATCTGTGCAGCCCTTAGCCAGGGATATGAACTGTTGCTGCCTCCTGATGTCCCCTCACTGCCTTCTCTTCATGCCATTTTTAACCCTGTTCAGGTGTCATCAGCTTCATCGTCATCCTGGTGGTGGTAGTGATTGTCCTAGTGGCTGTGGTCAGTCTCAGGTTTAAATGTCGGAAGAACAAGGATGCTGAAGGTACCTGTCTCGATCCGCAGCGCCCTCCCCTTGCGCTGGGGGACCAAGGCTGTCTTCCAGCCTGGGATAATGGAGGGAATGGCACCTAAGCCCCTTGATGACTGGGAAGGTCCCCTTGGGTGGGCTTTGAGGGGAAGGCAGGGAAGTTCTTCTGAGTTACAGCATGTAACCCTAGTCTCTGTCCTTGGATTTTTACAGACCCCCAGAAGCCAGGGAGTTCGGGGCTATCTGAAAGGTAAGACTGGGTTTAAATACATCTTCAGGGTGTCAAAGCACACTCTCATTTCACTGTGGTGCACCTCCCTAGTACAGATTTCTGTGAAACGGAGATCTGAGGCTGAGCCCCCTTCCCTAGTTCCCAGACTCCCTTGTCTTTCCTGTGCGCTCTGTAACCCAGACTCCCTTCCCAACACAGCTGCTCCACTGCCAATGGAGAGAAACACAGCATCACTCTCATTTCCATGAAGAACATCAACATGAATAACAGCAAAGCCTGCCCCTCAGCGGAGAAGGTGCCTGTTTCTGCTTCCTTCCCTCCATCCCCAAATTCATCCTCCCCGCTCCTGGCCCAGCGGCCCTGGTTCTTTAACCAGAAAGGAGGTCCTTTCAAAGACTCAAACTCTTCTCCCTCCTCCGCTGTCCTTCCTCTAATATTATCTATCTGTTTTTCAGGTTCTTTAAAAGTGACTTTGGCGTCCCTATGGGTCCAAGGATGATGCAGCTGCTCTGAGGAGGAAAAAATGAGATTGGTGGGGGCAGTGAACCACACATAAATTATTTTATTGTTTCATGTCTGCTCCCTGATTAAAGGACTCTGGCGTTCCTCCAGTCTGGGAGCAAGCTTCCCATATAAGAACCTCCTTCCCACAAGGACAGCCATTCCAGTCACGGCCGCCTGCTCAGAATCACAGGACAGAGAGTCTGTGGAGCAAGAGCGAGGCAGATGCAGAGATGGACTGATCCTTTCTACTTGCATTAAAATTATTTTCTGGGGCTGGGGATGTAGCTCAGCAGCACAGCACCTGCCTGGCAAGTGCAAGGTCCTGAGTTTGAGTCCCAGTACCAAAAGAATAAAATAAAATAATTTTCTGGCCTGTAACCTAATTTTTTAAAGGTCTGTGTTCCCACACATTTTTCTTTCTTTCCTTCCTTCTCTCTTCTCAGTAGGGTCTTTCTGAGTAACCCAGGCCAGGTTCGAACTGTAGTCCTCCTGCCTCGGAGTGCTGGGATTACAAGCGTGCCTCACTACACCCAGCCGGATGATAGGCACACTTCCTGACTGAGTTCACCATCAGGGGCTTCTTTCCCTGGGTAAGCACGGATGTGTCTTTCTGCACCTGTGCGGAGCTCTCTGAGAAACCAGGCTGTAGGGACACTGGTAAGCCTGCTTTTGTGCTCCTGGAGTATTAAATAGACTTGAGGCAACCAAATAGCCTGTAGAAGAGAGAAACAAGGGACTCTAAAAGTGTTCCATCATCACCAGTAACAAAGTTTGAAATCTGTAAAGGAAGAACGTGGTGAAACTCCAGTGGCGAGAACTGAAAAATAAGAACATAGATGTCCTTGGCCTGCCCCAGTGTACACAGACATCACTGTGGTCCTGGCCTTGGCGTGAGCGCTGGGAAGGTTCAGCTCAAGGACAGATGACTTCATAAACCAAACCCATCCCCTTACCCTATGCCACTGTTAAGTTGTGTCCTATAAGTAGAATGAAGCAAATGTGCCGTGAAGTCATTTTAAAAGGAGGAAAAGATGTAATCCCGGCACTCTGGAGGCTAAAACAGTATTGCCATGAGTTTGAGGCCAGCCAGAGCTACATAAGTGAGTTCAAGTCCAGCTTGTACTACATAGTAAGACCAACTCTCAAAAAAAAAAAAAAAAAAGAAAGAAAGAAAAGAAAGGGACTTTTCTTAGCAATGGGACATTTACCATGACTCGTATGGTAATAAACCTTGGCTGAGAAGAATCAGGGGAAATTGTCCGCATGTGTCTGCAGGGAGTGTTTGATTTTACAATCACCTGGGAGTTGGCAGTTTGGAACACAGGGAGAACATAGCTTACTCATTCTGGAGCAACAATAGGCTGTTTTCCTTAGGCTTACATTTCACAAAGTGATATGAAAAAAGATAGCTTACATGGGCTGGGGATTTAGGTCAGCAGCATAAGTGCCTGCCTGGAAAGTGCAAAGTCCTGAGTTCGATCCCCGGTACCACACACAAAAAAGATAGCTTACAATGAAAAATTTCTCTCTGTTTCATCCAAACTATTAATGTGGTGGGCATGGTGGCACTCACCTATAATTCCAGGACTTGAGAGTCTGAGGCACAAGGATTGCCACAAATTCAACTCCAGCCTGCGCTATTTAGTGAGTTCAAGACCAGCCCAAATCACATAGCAAGACCCTGTATCAAAACAAACAAACCAAATCAACAAAAACACTTCGCTTTATTTTGTGTTTTGAGACAGAGTGTCCTATGTAGTTGAGGCTGGCCTCAAATTTGCTAGGATTCTCCTGCCTCAATATCCTGAGTACTGGGATTACAGGTGCTCACCACCAAACCCAGATAACAAAACAATTAAAGTGAGACTGAAGGAACATACCAGATCCTTTCCCAGGCAAGGTATTTTCCCAGACAAGGTATTTAACATGTACAGCTTCTGCGTGGCACTGCGTGCCTCGCACATCTCAGTCAGTGAAGTCTGGTGTGGATGAAAGAAAGATGATGGGTCTAGACTCTGCCACAGACTTGAAGCTTAACTGATGGAATCACCTCCCTTTCTAAGACCATTTTCTTTTATTTAAAGTGTAGCTGGAACTGGGGATGCAGCTCAGTGGTAGGGTGCCTGGGCGTAACCCACACCATCAAAAAACTAAACAACAATAGTAAAGCAAAGTGGCTGAACTATTTGGCCTTTGTTATCTTCTCTTGTTCTTATGTCTGCTGTCCTGTCAACTTCAGATGTAACAAAAATGAACACCATCGATTCAATAGAGATCATTGTGGGTGGGAGCCCACAATGCCCACAAGCCCTAGGTAGTCCTGGGCAAGTTTTCGACATTTCGTCTGTGTAAAGGCTGAGGCAAGAGAACTGCCATGAGTTTGTGGCCAGCCTGGGTTACAATAGTGAGTTTAAATCCAGACCGAATACATACTGAGACTCTGTCTCAAAACAAAAACAAGGGCCAGGGGTTTAGCTCAGTGACACAAGTGCCTGCTTGCCAAGCACAAGGTTGTGAGTTCAATCCCCAGTACTAAAAAAACAAAAAAACAGGAGAATAGGCTGGGCATCTGTAGTCTCAGCACTCAGGAGGCTGAAGCAGGTGGATCACTATGAATTTGAGGCCTGCTTGGGCTACAAAGTGAGTTCAAGGCCAGCTTGAATTACATAGTGTCTCAAAAACATAAAACATATAAACAACTCACAGAAAAATGACCTCTACCTGGCCTTGCCTATGTCACAAGCTACAGGGTAAAAGGAAATAATAAATGTGGAGGTTCTAGGGAAGTAAAAGTACTTGCAGTCGATAACCTACCTCACTGCCCATCAGGGCCACTTGCCCCTGCTGTGGCTCCTAAGTTCATGGTGGGCTGTTGACTGGTGAGGGGGAAGGTGCAGGTGAAGCCTGGACACTGCCTGAATTTTCCCCCTCTAATTCTGCCTTCCTGACACCTCACAGTTATTCGCAGGAGCACTCAGCAATAAACATCAGTATGCAAATCTCAGACTCTTCTAGTCCTATTTCCTGAAGTACTCAATCTATGTAGCAAAATACAATATTTTTAAAAAGTAATTTGTAGCTGCTCATGATGGCACATGCCTGTAATTCCAGCCCCTGGAAGGCCGAGGCAAGAGCTAAGTTAGTCAACTTAGCTAGACTCTATCTCTAAAAAATAAAATAGGCACTGGTGATATAGTTCAGTGCAAAGGCCTGGATTCAATCCTTCATACCACACACACAAAATGGTAACTAATATATATTTTATTTAGACCACACTGCAAATGGGGCATGGTAGTACCACCTGTGCTCCTAGTAATTGGGAGGCTGAGGCAGGAAAATTGCTATGAGTTTGAGGCCAGCCTGGGTTACATAAGACCCTGTCTCAAAAAAGAAAAAGATTAATTAATTTGGGAGGGTATAGGAATCAAACTCAAAACTTTGTCATTGGGAAGCAGGCATTTTGCTGCTGAGCCAAATCCCCAGCCCAATTAGTTAACTTATTAAAGACCACATGCAGGCCAGGGATTTAGCTCAGTGGCACAGTGCCTGCCTGGCAAGCCTGAGATTCTGAATTCAATTCCTAGTACCAAATAAATTAATAAATAAATAAATATAACATTGCGGCAGGCACATGACTTATTAGCCAGTTCTAGTACAAAAATCCATCACTGGAATAGAATACACCACGTGACATAACAATGTCTAAAACTCCCCAATTCGGTTTGAATTATTTTCTGATTGCCAAGGGCACTTAGTTCAGCTGCTTGGGAGCATACTGGAATGAGCAGGTCAAGGACATGGGTTTCACCCTGTGTAACTCAGTTCATGGCTTCATTACAAGGCCACAACTCTCCCCTGATGGGGCAGCATCCTACAAACATGAGCCATTAGTCATAAGGTATTTCTGCATGTGGCTGAGGGACGAGCTGGTATCAACACTTTCGGGACTGCAAGTCTCTTACTGTGCTGCTAACTCCGTGGCATCGTGTGAGCCACGTTGATTTTCCTGTTGTCAAGTAACTTTATCCGCTGGGAAGGGCTCAAGGATAAACTGACTTAATGCTGAATTCGGTTCTCAATCTATACTCGAGGGGCTCTGTGGTAGGGTCCCATTATTTATGCAAAAGGACTCTATGTCTGATGGGAAATCCAGTACAGCCTTCTGCTCTGCAGCTGCTCTGAGATCACATGTCTTCCCTGATGTCTAGACAACAGGATGGTGACCATTTACAAGACGACTTCCTCCTTTTCCTTACACAGGACTACGTGGTCCTAAAGCAGGAATGGGGGGCAGGGTTGGGGGAGCGGTGCAGCATTCTTTGGTTTCTTCTCTCATCTTATGGAAGGGTACCCAACACAATAGTTGAGGCACACAGGCCTCCCTGGACAGGAGGACCATTTTCTCTGTATCTTTCTTCTAGGCCTCAGTCATATAGGATACACCCCAAATTTTAGTATCACCAGGAGAAATTCACTGCTGTTCGATATTATTTTTAAAAGGTCTAGAGGCTTAGATAAGAGAATCACAAGTCTGAACACAGCTTGGGGGCAACTTACCAACTGAGAGAGACTGTGTCTCAAAATAAAAAATGAAAACGACCAGGGTTTTAGCTCAGTGCAAAAGCCTGGGTTCCACCTTCGTACTGGGAAGAAAAACAAACTAATGGAGAAAACTGTTAGAAACCTGGCCGCAAGCGCCTATGGCCTCACCTTGGCACATAATTTCCCAAAACCATGCGAATCCTACTACATTCTGGGTGAATGCTGGAAAATACTGGGGCTCTCTTTACCAGTCTCCTTTCCAAACTTCTTTCTCTGCACCTGCTTCCTTCCTTTGAAAACTAACTGCCTTGGCAACTTCAAGTTTTTTGCCCTAATTTCTCCCCTGCCCCTCCCTCACCCCTGCTTAATGTCCCCCGGCATCTCCGCCCAGTACCCTTTGAGCCCAGAGCTTCATCCTTTTACAAAACGGAGATGGATTTTTTCAGTGGGGGATTAGTTTAGCGAAGTGGTTGGTGAGCAAAAGCAACTGGCATAGAAGTGAACTCAGTGTTGGGTGTTGGAATTCTAAATTAATCCAGTCGATACAGTCAGAGAAAAAAATCATCCAGAAGTGTTAGTGGAGGTGTAAATGAGCTGAAGGGTACATTTGCATGGTAGTATCTGAGAAGACTGCGGTGCTGAACCATTTTTTACTATTCTAGGAGTAAATGAGTCAAGTCTAGGAAAAGGGAGGGCCAAGGTTTCAGAGGATGAAGAGAAAGCATGCTTTTCAATAGATCCCAGATTCCCAGATCCTATCCAGTGTTCTTGAACCTGGATTCTGCTCCTAAGTAGTTCTATAATTCATGATGTCATTCCTCAACCCAGCACCCCTACTTCCAAGAAGAAACTCAGACCTCCTGGTACTCGGCCATCTCTAGTTGTCCTGTGCTTTGGACTTCAAGGATGTCTCCTCATCTGGATGTCTTCTAGAGCAAGCAGTCTATGCTCCCCAAACCAGAAAACATTCCTTCATATGTACAACAGCCTGACGGATGCTCCTGACCCTTGGCCACAGAGTACCAGTGGCTCCTTCAGGATGTAGCCTTCTGAAAGTGCACAGCTGTCTGGGACACACAAGCTGGGCACAGAGCCAGGGTGCCAGACCTAGACTTCTCACTCATTCTGTGGTTTAGGGACTCCCTTACCTCTTAAGTTTAAGAGGATAACAATCCATCTTGTAGAAATGGACAATCCTTCTTGTACCAGTTCATGTGTGTCTCCTGTGTTCTTTTTGAAAGATGAGGAAGATCATCAGCTTAAGTTGTTAGATTTAGGGGCTAGAGAGCTGGGAAAAGCAGCTTTCCATCCTTATTAGTAGTGGTTTACTTGTACTATTTGTAGTGACGATTACCTGATATAATGGCATGAGGAACCCGTTAGACATGTCCTGTAGTAATGACATACCCACTACTAATTCATAATGCCAGACCATGAAAAATGATTACCGTTATGGCACAAGCTATTAATGGCACAGGCTATTAAACTAGCTTGGCAGCTTTCAAATATTCATTTCTCCAAACTTTCACTGACTATAAAATATAAAATAGAAGGAAACAGAGCTGCTTTGATAGAAGAAAAGTAAGGTGCCGTCCTCCTTCTTCCCGTTCTTATGAGATCCTAGAGACGCCAGCACGTGAACATCAAGGATTCTTCAACTGGATTTTAATTTTTTGCAGTGCTGGGGATTGAGCCCATGGCCTTGCACATGCTAGGCAAGTGCTCCACCTCAGAGTCATACCCCCAGCCCAAAGATTCCTCAGTATAAAAACTACCAATTTAAACATTTTAGCTGGGTATAGTGGACCACATTTGTAATCCCAGCACTAGGGCAAGATTGGGAAGATTGCTATGAGTTTGAGGCCAGCTGGGCTACATTGTAAGTTCAAGACCAGTCTGAACTATATAACAAATTCCTGTCTTGAAATATCAATAATAATGATAATATCAGTAATAATAATAATAATAATAATCTAACCTTCTTAGCTTGTCAGTAAGGAAGCTGAAATCAAAGGAAAAAAGTAGTAGTCAAGGTCACACAATGATTTGTGGTGAAATCTCAACTGTAACCCACATTTTACATCTCAACCAGTGCTTTGCCTAAGAAGCCTTGTTCTCTTGGAGCTCCACCTGGAAACCATACCAGTGATGTCAGAGCTGTGAATCCCAGAGGACTAGAACTGCCTTCTATCACAAGCCCACTCAGTGTGTGTCCGGAGCTATTCATCCCCTTACCCACACCTGATTCTCTCAACAGCCTAAGTAGCTGTTGCTTGATGTCATAATTGATTTGGTCTCCTTGGGCAAAATCTGAGTGCATTCCAACTGCTGTAATTTTTTTCCCACATAGTTATTTGGATAATTTTGCCCTTCGTAAACATGATTTTGGCCATTCCAACCTTTTTACCTTCCTGCATGCATAAATAGGTGAGTGAGAACACTGTGGCCATTATCCATGAATGAGGTAAAAAATTTTTTTTGCTTTTATTCTGTGCTAGAATCCATGCAAGCCAGGATGGAGAACAGTAAGAACAGCTCTTCATTTCCATTTTATTAACTCCTTAGACCTGGCCCTTCAGGGAAAAAAAAAAAGGAACAGGTTAAGGTGAGGAAATGACTGGACTGGAAAAGATGAAAAAAGTCTCAGAGGGGCATTGGACTACAACAGGATGGAGTAAAAGTAAGGAACAGCAAAGACAGGGCTCTGAAGGGGCCCCAAACCTGGACTTTTCTTCTTTCTCTGTGATGCCTGAGGTGCCGGGCTGGGGTATGTGGGCCATACCTAGGATACTCCTCTAATCCTGTAAGTCTACCTCACCTTTTATTCTTTTCTGAGTCAGGATCTTGCTACCCTGTGGCAGCTAGTCTCAAAGTTCTGAGCTTAAGTAATCTTCGTATTACTAGGTTTTCTGTTTCCTGAACAAAGATTTGAGCAGCAAGATCAAACATTCATTGAAATTCAAAGTACATGCCACAGGGTGGGAGTGAGGCACTGAGAGAAGCTCTTGGCCCATAGAGATCTAATGTGAAGGGTTTTTTACAATAAGGTTTGGGATGGTGTGAGGTTTGGCTCTTGCCAGCGGGCGGGCAGCTTGGTTTAGGTCCCTCTGCAGGGCAGTGGAGTTTTTGACCTTTTATGGCCCTTGGAGAAACTGTTATGTCGTCCAAAGCCAAGGGGATGTCTCAGAACTGTGCAGTCAGTGACACGGTAGTTAGGGCTGGGGTGAACCAGGGGTTGCCAAAGAATTCTGTGTGCATGCACAGACTTGCAGTGTGTAGATTAGGTCACCTGTTTACTTTCCTTCATTGTATTTAGACCTGGATATCCTGGTTCTGGCCTAATATTTAACTCAGAAGGTGGGTCTAGCCCAGAAAGCAGGCTCCAAGGCAAAGGACTTTCCCTGTTTCTCCGTTTCCTTAACTACCTCCTGCTTCAACCTCCTGAATAGCTGTATTCCTCACCACAGTGGCTGGGTCTACCTTTCTATTTCTGCGGCTGTTAAGCTTCCCCAGAGCTACAGTAGGTATCTCTCAAACCATTTCTGAATCTCCAAGGCCAAAAAAAGACTTTGCACAGAACAAGCATTGACATACATTTTAAAAGGACATCCCTGAGAATAGTCCGACTGTCACGTTTAGCCAACAGTTTGTGCAGCCCTTTCCAGGAGGACATCTCAGTCAAGCCGCCTTAGATGTCCTCGATTCTAGGCAGCAGAGAAGCCACTACGCCCACTCTACAGAACAGCCTGTAGCCACGGAGCATTTAGCTGTATCGCCACTGGTCTCAAGTTGCAAAGGTCCAGCCTCTGGCTCCAAGCATCTCCGCGAGCCCTCGCGCGGGGCCTGCCGGGAGTTGTAGGCAGGCGCCCCAGCAGCCTAGAGCACTGAACTACAATGACCAGCGTGCCTCGCGCTCAGTGCCCCCCTTCTCTTGCGGTCTAGAGCCAAGGGGAGGATCAGCGGACTCGCTGAGAACCGATATGTCGGCCACACTGGGCAGCGGGGAGCGCTGGACCGAAGGTACTAGGACCTAGACGGGGGGTAAGACGAGGAGGCATTCTGGAGGGATAAATCACATGATGGCTGATATCTGGGGCCTGAGGTGAAGGATGGAGGCCTGTGAGATGCTAAGCCTGAGCAGGGTACCAGTTGCTGGGCCAGATGCCCAGGGCAGATGCCGGGATCTGTAACCAGGAACGCTGGCTTGAGCTGGGGCCTCCCAGCCAGGAGCCCAGTCACCGGTGACAATTGACTCTGGTCCCCAGCCCCGCCTCCGCCTGTGCCCCGCCCAGGGCCCGCGGCCATCCGGTTCTTGCTGCGCTGTGTGGATGGAGAGCGAATGCTGCGGCCTCCCGCAGCTTGCTTTCCGGGCCTTTGTCGTTGACTCCCCCAAACTATGCCTCATGACATTCAGTCCCAATTTGATCTTGTCCATGCAGCCTCCCAGGACCAGTAAATTGACCTTTTCCATTCTGCAGTCAGGCAAAAAGTATAGATCCAATATGTTTTATGTGCCCCACATTTTGCTGATCGTGCAGCAGAGATTTGACAGACTTGGGCCTCTGAGCTAACCATTCAAAGAATGTGAGGGTTCTCAGCAAGGATAGGGGTTGGGGGAGTATTACTGAAAAGGCACACAGCACAGTCTGGGTGTCAAAGGAGTCTTCACCGAGAAAGTGTTACATTGAATGGCATGAAGGATACAGAGTTAGCTAAGCTGATTTATAGGAAGTATGCCAACGAACAATAGGTAGTCACAGAGATGTTAAATTGGAGGAAATTTTCTCTAAAGGCCTTTTCATTGAACTACATCCCAGGTCTTTTTTTTTTTTTTTTTTTTTTTTTTTTGTCTTTTTCATTTTTATCGGTACCAGGGATCGAACTCCTGACTGCCTGCTTGCAAGGCAGGCGCTTATGCCACTGAGCTAAATCCCCAGCCCCTACATCCCAGGTCTTTTAAAAATTTTGTTTCGGGACAGTGTCTTGCTGAGTTGCCCAGGCTGGACTTGAATTTAAGGTCCTCCTGCCTCAGGCTCCCAGAGTGCTATAATTACAGGTATGTGCCATCACTCCTGACTGGGAAGATGTTGCTGTCATTTTGGAGTACTGGAGAATAAAATAAGGGTCTTCTCACTGAACTACATTCCCAGGCCTTTTTTTATTTTTTATTTTGTGACAAGGTCTTGCTAAGTTGCTCAGGCTGGGCTCAAACTTTTGGAGTCTTTATCCCTCAGCTTCCCAGAGTGCTGGGATTATAGGTGTGTACCACCATGTCTAGCATGGAAAATGATTTTGTTTTTGTTTGTTTGGTTTTGGTTTTTTGAGACAGGGCCTCTCTAGATAGTCCAGGTTGGCCTTAAACTCGCTATGTAGCCCAAGCTGTGCAAACTTGTGGCAGTCTTGCTGCCTCAGCCTCCTGAGTTCTGAGATTAACAGGTGAGCATCACCACACTCAGCTGAAAGATGGTTTTAAAACATTTCCCAAAACTTCCAGACAAGATGTAAGTGCTCTGTTCTCTTTAACTGGATTGCATGTAACCTTCCCTACATTCTGCAAGGATTGTAATACATTTAATCTGCTCACATTAAACTATAACCTCTTGGTTGCCAGCAGTAGGCCTTATACACCTCCCTGATCTACCCAGCCAAGGGTTTTAGTGCATAGTAGGTCTATAGCTGTAGTTTAAAAGAATTAAACTCTTCTCTGAGTAATATGGGTGAGAGGTATTGTCACTTCTGACCATGGAGCAGAGAGAAATAGGCTTTTTACTGGATTGCACTAAAGGCAGGATATTGGGCAGACACTTCTTTTGAACCCTTCTCCCCTGTAGGTATATGTATGTGAGTGTGTGTGTGTGTGTGTGTGTGTGTGTGTGTGTGTGTCTGTCTGTCTGTCTGTGTAATAGTGGGGACTGAACCCTGGGCCTTCACACTCAGCTACAACCCCAGTCTATTATTGTTTGTTTGTTTAAGACAGGCTCACATTATATAGTTCAGGCTGGTTTTGAACTCATTAGATATCCCAGGCTTGCCTCAACTCATGGGGATCCTCCTGGCTCAGCCTTCTGAGTGTGGGATTACAGGTGTGCAGCCCACACCTGGCTTTTATTTATTTTGAGACAAGTTCTTACTAAATCACTGTTGCCTAAGCTGAGCTCAGACTTGCAGTCTTCCTGTTTCAGCCTCCCAAAATGCTAGAATTATACCCTGGGTTCTCTATGGCAAGATTATTTGCTGACTGACCATTGTAGATGGGGTGGACTTGTGCTTCATGCTTCTGCCTTTTATGGGTTTTTCTGAGGTGGTTCCCATATTTTCTGTGTAGTTTTCTTGAGAAAATGTTTATTCAGCTTTGTATGAATGCTTAAAAGTCAGCATCATATCATCATGTTCATTGCACCTCACCTACTCATGCCAAAAAGCACTCTCTCTAAGAGTGAAGCCAGGTAGTAAAGTTGATTTTCAGGGTCAAATGGTGGCCTAATAGAGGGGCTACTGTTTTGCAGCTTACATTGATGCAGTTAGAAGAAACAAATACCCAGAAGATCAACCTCCTGAGAGTCACGAGCCGTGTGGTTGCTGTGACTGTATGAAGGCACAAAAGGAAAAGAAGTCTGAGAATGAGCGGAACCAGACCCGGCAGGGTGAGGGCAGCTCCACTTACACTGAGGAGCAGCTGCTTGGGGTACAAAGGTGAGTGTGTGGTAGGATGAAATGAGTGTGTTATATGAAGTTAGAAGGCTACTTCCTACAGAGGATGTGCTATTTAAGTCCTGACTGTTTCTGTTGTTGTTACTGAACTTTTTTTGCTTGTATTTTGAGATAGGGTGTTGCAATATAGTTCAGGCTGGGTTTTTTTTTTTAATTTTTTTATTTTTTGTGTTTTTGAGACAGGATCTTGCTACCCAGTTCAGGCTGGCCTTTGTAGCCCAGGCTGGTCTCTTTTTTTTTTTTTTTTTTTGGTCTTTTTCCTTTTTATCGGTACCGGGGATCGAACTCACAACTGCCTGCTTGCAAGGCAGGCGCTTATGCCACTGAGCTAAATCCCTAGCCCAGCCCAGGCTGGTCTTGAACTTGCAACAATCCTCCTGCCTCAGCCTCCCAAGTGCTAGGATTACAGATGTGTGCCACCACGCTTGGTGTTCAGGCTGCTTTAGATCTCATTATGTAATCCATACTGGCTTGGCTTCAAACTCACAGTAGTCCTCCTGCCACAACCTCCAGAGTGCTGGGATTTCAGATGTGCACCACCATGTCTGGCTCAAAATGCTATAACTTCAAGTCCTCAGAAGGAAGACTGAAGCAGAAGTAGAAGCAGAGTATCAGGGTGTATTGTGAGCCTGCTGGTAACCCTGCTTTAGTTTTAAAAGGGGCAGAGGAAGCCAACTAAATAGAACACATATCCATAGAACATTCTGTCCAACCACCACAGAGTACAAATTCTTCTTAAGGATACATGGGACATTCTCTGGGATAGATCATATCTTAGGCCATAAAATGAACTTCCATAAATTTTAAAAGGTTAAAATCATGTAGCCAGGCATGGTGGCACATGTCTGTAATCTCAGCACTTGGTAGGCTGAGGCAGGCAGATTGACTGAAATTTGAGGCCATCCTGGGCTACATAGTGTGTTCAAGGCCAGCCTGAACTACATAGCAAGACACTGTCTCAATCAATCAATCAATCAATCAATCAATCTTTTTTTTTTTTTGGGTACCAGGGATCGAGCTCATGACTGCACGCTTGCAAAGCAGGCGCTTATGCCACTGAGCTAAATCCCTGGCTAAATAAATATTTTTAAAAAATCATGTAGTGTATGTTCTCTGAAATCAATAACAAAAGAAAGTTTGGGAAATTCACAAGTAGTGGAAATGAATCAATAATTCTCAAAACATAATTTTCATTGATTCCCCAGGACCAAAAAACAAAACAAAACAAAAAATACTTCTCAAAATTATACTGAAAATTAGAAGTGCTTTAAGATGAATAAGAATGAAAATACAACATATCAAAATACAGCTAGTGAGGGATACAGCTAGAGAGATACTTACAAAGAAATTTTTGTTATAAATGCTTATTAAAAATAAAAATATTAATTCAGTGACCTACTGTTCTTAAGAAACTAGAAAAAAACTAGGCATAGTGGCACATGCCTATAATATCAGCCTTCTGGGAGGCTGAGGCAAGAGGTTTGCAAGTTCAGGCTTGTACCCTGAGTGATTTAGTAAGACCTTGTCTAGAAATAAAAAATAGAAAGAGCTAGGGATATGTTTAAATGAGAATACCCTGAATTCAATTCTCAGTAGTAGTCCTCCCCCAAAAAACAAAAATGAGAACAAATTAAACCTATACATTCAGTATAAAGGAAATAATATAGAATAGAAATAAGTGAAACAATATAAAAATAGCTAATAAAATCATAAGTTAGTTTGCAGAAAGTATCAGCAAAATTAACCAATCTTTGAGATAGACTGGCCAAGAACAAAAAGAGTAGACTCAAATAACTCAAATCAGGAATGAAAAAGGTGAGTTACTACCAATCTTATGAAAATAATAAAGATTATAAGGGAAAATTGAATAATTATATGCCAACAAATTAAATAACCTAGATGAAACAGACTCCTAGAAAGATACAAACTTTTGAAACTGACTCAAGAAAAATATTGAAAATTTGAATAGACCTACAACAAATGAGACTAAATTAATAATTAAAAACTTCCCACAAGCAACAGGGCAGGATGACACATGCCTACAATCCCAGCTATTTGAGGGGCCAGAGCAGAAAGACCACAAGTTTGAGGTCAACCTAGGCAACTCAGCAAGACCCTGTCTCAAAATAAAATGAGAAGGATGAAGACGTAGCTGGGTAGTAAACACTTTGCTGGCATGGGCAAAATCCTGGGTTTAATCCCAGTAGCCTCCTATAGCCAACAAGAACTATTTGGGGGCTGGGGATTTAGCTCAGAGGCATAAGCACCTGCTTGGCAAGTGTGAGGTCATGAGTTCGATCCCCGGTACCAAAAAAATAAGAAAACTATTTGTTAATGAACAAAAATGAAGTACTAGTACATACTACAGGATGTATGAATCTTGAAAACATGCTAAGTGAAAGAAGCTAGACACAAAAGGTCACATGTTATATAATTCCTTTTATATGAAATAATCAGAATAAACAAATCTATAGAGACAAAAGTAGATTAGCAGTTGCCAGGGGCTTCAGAAGGGGAAGTAAGAATAACTGCTAATGGGTATGGGGTTTCTTTTGGGGGTGATGAAAATTTTGTTTGTTTTTTGAGACACAGTCTTGCTGGCCTTGAACTCCTAGTAATCTTCCTGCCTCAGCCTTTCAGGTGCTGGGATTTTAGGTTTGCACCACCACGCCTAGCAGAAAATATCTGGAAATTAGGTAGTGTTAATGAATGTACAACTTTGTAAATAGACCTCCTCAAAAAAACAAAAACAAAAACTGAATTGCACAGTTTTAAAAGGTAATATTGTAGCATGTGAATTCTTTCTCAGTATAGCTCTCATAAAACAAATTCAAGAGAGCAAGAGAAAATGGGGTCATGGGAAGGTGAGTTGGAACTGGAAAACTCTTTAGGAAGCCATCTGGTTAGTTTACATCCTGCATTATAATCCAGCCTGTGTTACTACTGACTTATAGCAGTTTTTATAAGAATGAGGTAGAAGGGCTGGGGATTTAGCTCAGCGGCATAAGCTCCTGCCTTGCAAGCTCAGGGTTATGAGTATCAATCCTCAGTACCAATTAAAAAAGAATGAGGTAGAGCTGAGTGTGGTAGTGCATGCCTATAATCCTGGCACTCCCGGAGGCTGAGGCAGGAGGATCACTATGAGTTTAAGGCCAGCCTGGGGTTACAATGTCAGTTCAAGCTCAGCCTGAACTGCACAGTAAAAACCTGTTTCAAAGGAAAAGAAAAAAATGAGGTAGATACATACTGCTAAAGTAGCTAAAGTTTATTTATTTGTTATTTGGTACTAGGAGTTGAACCCAGGGCCTAGTGCATTTTTAGACAAGTACACTACTGTTAAACTACATATCCCCTAGACCCCGCCCCCCACCCTTTTTTTTGAGACAGAGTGTTGCTAAGTGCTCCAACCTGGCCTCAGATTTTCAGGTTTTTTGCCTCAGCCTCCTGAGTAGCTGGCATTACAGGTGTGTGTCATGGCACCTAGCCACTAATGCTTATTTAGTGTCAGTTGCTATCAAGTATTTTGGTAGATATTTGATTTAATCATAACATTTTTATTAGTACATGTTTGGAGTATACAGTGATTATTACATTAACCATAACATTAATTCTGGAATATAAGTATAATTATTAGCCCATTTTAGAAGATAACAACAAGGTACAGAGGTTAGGTATACAGCATGATAAAATCCAAACAAAGGCATTATTCTTCTTAGTGTTGCCTAGATATAGCTAGCAGAGGCCTTTGAAAGCATCTTTACTTTTTTTAATTCAAAGTTTGTAGGTATATATAATGATCATATTCATCAGAGGGAAGTGTTTAAAAATTATTTCTGTTGTTTCTGAATCAAGTTCTCACTGTGTAGCCAAGTCCTTGAACTCACTATGTAGCCGAGGCTGGCCTTGAATGCTCAGCAATCCTCCTGTCTCTGCCTCCTGAGTCCTGGGATTCCAGGCGTGTGCCACCACATGCCTGGCCTATCATAGGGTATTTGTACTTATGCATGACATATTTGATTCTTTTTTTTTTCCAGTTCCCCTCCTCTCCCTTTAACTCTTCTTCCCCTTCTTAATTACAAAAGTGTTATTTCCATTTTTTCCTCAAACAAAGGCATTTTGACTCAAGCATTTGTACTGTCATTCACCAATTCTCAAAAAATAGTTGAAGGGGAAAGAAAGTGGTTGGAGAATCCCACAACTTTCCCAGGCAGATCTGCAAGTTTAAAACTATTCCATAATAAGCTGGATGTGTTGTACACCTATAATCCAGGCACTCTTGGAAAGTAAGGCAAGAAAATCAAACATTGGAGCGCAGCCTTGAACATTTAGCAGTTTAGAGAGACCCTGTCTCAAAATAAAACTTGAAAAAATGGGACCTGATGATGTAGTCAGTGAGAAGGCCCTGGGTTCAGTTCCCCGCACCAAAAAGAAAAAAAGACTGTTCTCATAATAATACAAATGTGCTACCTTCCTTTTCCACTCTCTTCTTATGATTGTACAGTGGAATTGAACAGCTACATGGTATAATTTTTGTTTTCATTTCTAGTATAGTAAAATTTGTAGTGGGCCAGGCATGGTGGTACACACCTGTAATCTCACACTTGGGAGGCTGAGGCAGGAGAATCACTGAGAGGGTTTGAGGCCTGCTACAAAGTGAGTTCAAGGCCAGCCTGAACTACATAGCAAAACCCTGTCTCAAAAAGATAAAAACAAAAACAAAAAAATTCTGTATTGGTAGATGTAATGCATACAAACAGAAGTACAGAAGTTCCTTCAGTGCTATCAGGAATCTAAAAAAAAAAAAAAAAAAAAAAAAAAAAAAAATATATATATATATATATATAGTTTTTTTATAAACAGTGGAAAATATTCACTGGGGAAAGAAAGCTATATTTTTGGATCTAAAGATCTTGGCAAAAAAAATAAAGAAAACTATATTTATTAGGGGAAAGCTTCTGTTTAATGCAGACAAAAAGGGCCTCGTGTGGGCCTCCCTCAAAAATTATTTCCTTATTTTTATGGTACTGGAGATTGAACTCTGGGGACTCTACCACTAAGCTACATCCTCATGCCTTTTTATTCTGAGATAGAATCTTGCTAAATTGCCCAGTTTAGCTGAACTTTCTATCCTTCCTCAACCTCCTGAGGGGTGGGATTACAGGTGTATACCACATCCATCCAGCTTTAGAAATCTTTTATACTCTTAAAAATTATTGAAATACAGCCAGACAAAGCAGTGCATATATGTCTTTAGATATATATATATATATATATATATATTTTTTTTTTTTTTTTTTGTACCTGGAATGGAACTCATGATCTTGCACTTTGCTAGGCAGGTGCTTATGCCACTGAGCCATATCCCTGCCCCTCAAATTGTTTTAAAGTACTGGAGATGGCTGTTTTTCCATGCAGCGGATTCACACCCTAAGAGGCAACGATGATGCCCAGCCAGAATAACAGGATTCTGAAGCCCCACTTCCACAAGGACTGGCAGCAGCACGTGCCACATGGTTCAGTCAGTCAGCTTGGAAGATCTGTAGGCACAAGGCCCAACAGGCAAAAGCGTGCTGTGTAGCCCTCGCTCCTTGTCCAGACCCATCTGGGCCATCGTGCACTGTCCCACGATGTGATACACACTAAGGCCCAAGCCAGCAGGGCCTTCAGACTGGCGGAGCTGCAGGTGACTGGTATTCACAAGAAGACAGCCCAGACCATTGCATCTTGGTGGACCCAAGGTGGCAGAATAAATCTACCAAGTCTCTGCAGGCCACCGTGCAGCAGCTCAGAGGGCACTGCTCCAAACTCATCCTCTTCCCCAGGAAGCTGTCAGCCCCCAGGGAGAGACATAGCTCTGCTGAAGAACTCAAATTGACTACCCGGCTCTCAGGACCAGTGATGCGGTTCAGGAACATCTACAAGAAGGAGAAGGCCAGGGTCATCACAGAGGAGGAAAAGAGCTTCAAGGCCTTTGCCATTCTGTGCATGGATCATGCCAATGCCCATCTCTTTGGCATCTGGGCATAGAGAGCCAAGGAAGCTGCAGAGCAGGACACTGAGAAGAAAAAAATAAAGCACTGTTAGGGTCTTGTAATAAATGCTCAGAAAAGCTAAAAAAAAACAAAAAAAACAAAAAAACACACAAAGTACTAGGGATGTAGCCCAGTGCAAAAGTCCTGAGTTGAATGCCCAATACCAGAAAAAAGTTTAAGTGGAGGACTTGAAAGTTTCATTAATGGGCTAATTTTCTTTTAGTTTTTTTTTGGGGTCACATGGATTGGAGGGAGGACCAATGTAATATTTTGTAGTTAATTGTAAAAGGGGCTTCTGTGGGCACACATATTTCTAATTTTTTTCTTTTTTCTTTTAAGGATCAAGAAGTGCAGAAATTACTATGAAATTCTGGGAGTTGCCCGAAATGCCAGCGATGAAGAACTTAAGAAAGCTTATAGAAAACTGGCCCTGAAGTTTCACCCTGATAAGAACTGTGCTCCTGGAGCAACAGATGCTTTCAAAGGTTTGATCCTGAATTGATGTGTAATTCTGCCCTTGTGATGGTTGGTGACAGCAAATTGGTTTATGAGGCTATATACATGGTTTTATACTTGTCACATTTTTTGTTTTGTTTTGGTTTGGTTTTTGAGACAGGGTCTCACTATGTAATTCAGGCTGGCCTGGGCCTCCCAAGTGCTGGGATGATAGGCATGTGCTACCATGCCTGGCCATAAAGCCCTTATTATTAATATATTCATAGGAAAAGCTGTATGTAAAGAACATAAATGTAGTTATAGACAAATCTTTTCCATTGATTTCCATGTTTTCAGAATGCATGTAGTTTTGAGGAACAGAGAATTGAACCCAGGGCCTCATGCATGCTAAGCAAGTGCTTTGACATTAAGCTACATCCCCTTCAGTGCTTATAGTTATTTATTTTCAGAGACAGGATCTCACTGTGTAGTGTAGGCTGGCCTCAACTCACAGCAGTCCTCTGCCCCAGCCTCTCAAGTGGTAGGATAACAGGATGTGCTGGAGGCCTTGCACATGCTAGTCAAGTGCTCTCCCAATGAGCCACATCCACGGCACTGAAGAAGACATCTTTGATGGATAAACATGGTGGCCAGATAGCGGACATGTTTGAGAATTAGTGATCAAAGGGGTGGGGATTTGGCTCAGTGGCATAAGCTCCTGCTTTGCAAGTGTGAGGTCATGAGTTGGATCCCTAGTACCAGCAAAAAAAAAAGAAAGAAAGAAAATATAGAGAATTAGTGATCAGTTACCTGAACTGAGGAGGGGTGGGGGTGTCCCAGGTCAGCTGAGTCAAGAACTCCTGGGCCAGGGATATAGCTCAGGGGCACAGCGCCTGCCTAGCAAGTGCAAGGTCATCAGTTTGATTCCCAATACAAAAAAAAAAAGAACTCTTAATCACAAGTTAACTGGCACTTCAGGAGTATTCTTAGTGTGTCTTCTGCAGTGTTGTTTCTTGCTCACCAAGCTTGATCACAGGCAGTCTCAAGGGTGAACACTTTGGGGAGCTTTGCAGGCCCAAGCGTCGGTCCGTGGGCCCCTGTGATGTTGTCCCTGGATCCTCCGTTGCTGCTGTGGTCACCCTCAGCCACAAACGCCCTGCTCATCTCCTTGTTGTTGGTTGCAGCGATCGGCAATGCCTTTGCAGTCCTGAGCAATCCTGACAAGAGACTCCGCTATGATGAATATGGGGATGAACAGGTGACTGTCACTGCACCTCGAGCCAGACCTTATAATTATTACAGAGACTTTGAAGCTGACATCACACCAGAGGAGCTATTCAATGTCTTCTTTGGAGGACATTTTCCTACCGGTTAGTATCCCAAAATTATCCCTTATTTGTTTGTTTAAGACAGGATCTCACTAATATTCCAGGCTGGCCTTGAACTCACTATGTAGCAAAGACTGGCCTCAAACTCAAGGTGATCTTCCTGCCTCTCCAAGGTTGGGATTATAGGCAGGTACCATCATGGCTGGTTCAGAATTATGATTCTTTTTTATTAATATTATTTTTTATTTTTTATTTTTATTTTTTTGTCTTTTTGAGACAGGGTCTCTCTATGCAGTTCAGGCTGGTCTTGAGCTCACTTTGTAGCCCAGGCTGGTCTTGAACTCACAATGATCCTCCTGCCTCAGCCTTCCGAGTGCTGGGATTACAGGCGTGAGCCACCACGCCCGGCTAAGAATTATGATTCTTAAAACTATTGATTTATGATTCTCTGTAAGCTCCAGCCTTAAGATCTGAAAAGAAAGGCAGTGGTTTAGTTGAAACAGCAAGAATTTGGAATAGTTGAACAGGAGTTTGAAGCAAGTCTCTAACCTCCAGCTGTGTATGTGCCTGACCAGATTATTTAGTCTTCCTCACCCTAGTAGAAAATGATGCTGAAAATAATATACACCTCTCAGTTGCTATGAAGATTAGATATTTTTTTTTTGTCTTTTTCATTTTTATTGGTACCAGGGATTGAACTCATGACTGCCTGCTTGCAAGGCAGGCGCTTATGCCGCTGAGCTAAATCCCCAGCCCCCGAAGATTAGATATTTTAAAGTGCTTTACAAATCATTATAAAAATGCCTATTATTATGATCAATACTGGAAAACAGATTTTATAAAGATAGGTTAAAAATTGACAAACAAAAAAAGCCGGCTGGGTGGCTTACCCCAACATTCAGAAGGCTGAGGCAGGAGGACTACAATGAGTTCAAGGCCAAACTAGTGAATTTAAGGCAAGCCTGGAATACTTAATGAGATTTTGCATAGCAAGACCCTGTCTCATAAACAAAACAGGAGGGCCGGAGGTTTAGCTCAGCGGCATAAGTGCCTGCTTGGCAAACTCAAGGTTGTAAGTTGAAACCCTGGTACCAAAAAAAAGAAAAAAAAAAAAAAAAAAAAAACCAAAAAAACAAACCAGCAACAAAAACCACTAAAAACAAAAACAGGGCTGGGGATTTAGCTCAGTGGCACAAGGGTCTGGGGCACAAGTGCGAGGTTGCAAGTTTGATTCCTAGCACCACAAAAACAAACAAACAAACAAATTTGGCACGGTGGCACATGCCTATAATTCCAGCTACCTGAGATGCTGAGGCAGGAAGATCATAAGTTTGAAGCCAACCTGGGCAATTTAGAGCAAGACCTTGTCTCAAAATAAAAGATAAAGAGTTGGGGATGTGGCACTGTAGTAATGTATCTATGGGTTCAATCCTCAGCATTACCAAAAAAAGTGGTTACAAAAACACCCCCCAGAAGATTGGGACTGTGTGGTGCTATAGTTCATACCCAGGGCCTCACACATGCTAGGCAAGTGCTCTGCCACTGAGCTATACCCTAATAGGGGGCACAGAAAGGAGCGTGCCAGATACGACTCATGGCGCACGCACTCTCTTCCAGGCTCTCAGGGTTCTCTCTCTCCCTCTCACTAGTTGCAGAGGACTATTTAAGTGATGTCAGAAGAGCTAAGCACATTCTCTGTCCAGCTGGCTCACTTGGCTCACCTGCTGTCTTACTTTCCTGCCGAGTAATGCAGGCCAATACTCTATCCTCACAGCACCTGGCTGGGAGCTAGGACTTTGAAAATGCCAAGGAGGCCTGTTTGTCATATGCCCTGTGAAGTGCTTTTGTTTCTTTCCTAGGAAATATTCATATGTTTTCAAATGTGACCGATGACATTCAATATTACCGCCGGCGGCACCGACACGAAAGGACACAGACACGGAAGGAAGAGGAAGAAGATAAAGCTCAGGTATCTGGGGAAGGGAGGGCAGCGCTGCTCACCAGCAGCCGTGCCGAGCCTGCTTAGTGAGGCATGGTCACACTCTAGAAACCCACGTTGTGCTGCTGCGGAAATGTGCGTTAGGGGAGCAGAGACAACACTAGAAGAGCTGGGTAACTGTCCCACATGAACCAGAATCACCACCACCATCCCGCCTCCAGTTCTTTTGTTTCTGTCTAGGTCTCAGTTTCCTTGTGGGGCAGTTTTGATCCAAGTTTTCTTAAATGTGAAAATAAGCTTGATCCCTGGTACCGACAAAAATGAAAAAAAAAAAAAAAAGAAAAAGAAAATAAGCCTCCTTTAGAAGGTTAGAACTCAAATGGGCTCAAGCTAAGGGCTCAAGGGAGTCTTGTGAAGCTTGCAAGTGAGAAGCACCGACGACCCTCCCGACAGACAGGAACCGGAGCCAGGTGCTGGTGGGCTCTCCCTGAGCTGGCCCAGGTTAGCTCTGTTTTCCCACCCCTCTCAGCTGCTGTCTTGTTCTTTTCTACTTCCCCTTGCAAACAGCAGTGTCTAACAGTCTGTGTGAAGACTCCCAAATCCCCTGCTAGTTAGAGGGCTCCAGTGCAGTGAGCAGTGGCCAAGGCAGGAGGGTCACATACCACCAACCTGGATCACAGAGCCCCAGCCCTGGGAGACTCAAGTCTAGGCTGATTTATATCAAGGTGTCCACTCCTGGTCCTAGAGGAGGGGTTGCCGGATTGCTGGGTGTCAGGCTGGGCTGCAGTGGGCCTCCGTCAGCCTTCTTAGCAGACAGAATAAGAGTTCCTAGAGAAGCCTTGGACTCTGTGGACTGGGCCCTCCTGTGCAGTACATTAGAAATTTGTATTTGGGATTTCTTTGTATTCATATTTTTAACAAGCTTTCCATTGATGAAGAATGATTACACCAACAACTTTTTTCTTTTTTAGACTACATATTCTGCATTTATCCAGTTACTTCCAGTTCTTGTGATCGTAATCATATCTGTTGTTACTCAACTGCTGGCTGCTAATCCTCCATATAGCCTATTCTATAAATCGTAAGTAAAATATTTATAAATCTATCTTAATAACAATATGGAACATGAAAAACATGACGGTTCTGCTGATACGTTACTAACATTTGTTTCACCTTTCGCTGTGGAAAACACTGATTTTATGTTTAAAGGAACAGCTAAGGGCAGGGGATTTAGATCGGCGGCATAAACACCTGCCTGGCAAGTGTGGGGCTGAGTTTGATCCCCGGTACCGAAAAAAAAAAAAGTGGAACAGCTAAGTGGTAACAGTGCAGACACAAAATCACTGAGGCAGTCTCAGGAGTTCCTCCTGTTTTGTTTTACAGCGACATCGTCTGATCAGTTGCAGAATAGCAGAAAGTAGTTCTAAGGAACTTGAGATTCAGAGTAAACCCTTACCTCATCAAGGTAGTTACAGAGGATCCTACTGAACTTGTGATAGGATGACTGAATTTCTGTGGCTCTGAGAGGATAGTAACTGAGACCCAGTGATTACTTTTAATTTTAAAAAATTGTAAAAAGGGGGCTGGGGATTTAGCTCAGCGGCATAAGCACCTGCCTTGCAAGCAGGCGGTCGTCAGGTGGATCCCCGGTACCGATTAAAAAAAAAAAAATTGTAAAAAGAAGCCAGACACAGTGGCACATGCCTGTAATTATAGCACTTGGAAAGTTGAGGCAGGAGGACTGCCATGAGTTCAAGGTCACCCTGGGGTGCATAGAAAGATTCTGTCTCAAAAAGAAAAGAAAAGAAAAGAAAAGAAATGTACTCTTAGACATTGATTGCATCAGAAACCTTGGAAGTCCAGACCAATCTGAGTTTTAACAAGCCCTCAGTATCTGGGCTGATGCAGTAGTTCTACAGTTAAGCAGGCACCCAGCATGTGGGAGGCCCTGGGTTCCCCTCCTGGCATGAAAAAACCAGGTGAAATTTATGGGGCACCACGTGACAGGAAGCGTCTTTGTTGGTGATCACTGTAAACTGAAGAGCATTGTTCTAGGCCAGTGTCTTCCTTTTATGGAGAGCAATGCTGAGCTCTAGTCAACAGTTTAAGGAGAAGTTACTGCAGTCAGGTCACACTGGCTTGACACCCTCGATTTCCCAACTTCCTATCTTTTCCCCTTTAGTGCTTTGGCCTTTTTTCTTGTCAGACCAGTGGGGCACATTAGGGCTGCTCTACTAACCCCTTCCCTGGGTGATGTGCAAGAAGTCATGTCTGTGTGCAGGAGTTTGGCAGTATCCTTAAATAGATCCAAGGAGAGGGCCACGTTTAACATCATTAAGGTGCAGTTTATCCAGCTCAGGTGTTGTACATTGGTGTCATATTATTTTAACTTGCATTTGAGCTCACTTTTTTGGGGGGGACTAGGGATTGAACTCAAGACTGCGTGCTTGCAAGGCAGGCGCTTATGCCACTGAGTTAAATCCCCAGCCCCTTGAGCTCACTTTAATTCATTTTGTTTTGTTTTGTTTTGTTTTGGAGACAATGGCATTCCAGACTGGCCTTAAACTTACTATCTAACCCAGGCTGGCCATAAAAGCAATCCTCCTGCCTCAGCCTTCTGAGTGCTGGGATTACAAACATGCACCTTTAATTCTTCAGTATGGTTAAAATCTAGACAATCCTCTTAATGGTTCTGAGCCCCAGATACCATTGGAAGTCTTGGACCCACAGGCATCATTGAAGTCCTTTGTCTAAATTTTTTGTAGTTCTCACTCAGCAGCTATGTATGATGTGCTTTTTGTTATGTCCTAAGAATTGGTTCTAGGTTGAAAAAGCTGTCTGATGTTTTCTAAATAGTTTGCTGCAATATTCATCAATTCATGCAGCCAGCATTTACCAGTGGGTACTCTGACAGGTGCCATGCCAGGTCCTCCACAAAATACTTTTTTAAAGCATTCAGCATTCTTTTTGCATAGAAAACAGTATAAGAGAGTAAATCTTTAAAGAGAATAAACATATGCTGAAGCTGAATTCACAGTATGAACATGCTCATAAAATATTGATAATTATGACTTTTACCACTTTGCTAGGGGGAATAAGAAATGTTGGGTATAAATTTTGGATGTAAAATGGTGTCTATGAGCCAGGCATGGTGGCACACGCCTGTAATCCCAGCACTCAGGAGGCTGAGGTGGGAGGATCACCATGAGTTCAAGGCCAGCCTGAACTACTTAGTGAGACCCTGTCACTACAGTAACAACAAAGGTGTCTATACTTAGACTGGATGGCATTCTAAGAGCCTGAGACAGGAGAATCGGAAATTGAAGCCCAGCCTGGACAATTTAAGGACATAGCATGACCCTGTCTCAAAATAAGAAGTTTAAAAAAGGTCTGCAAGCCCTTGGTGGTGGTCCATGCCTATAAATGGGAGGCCCCTGGGAGGAGGCAGGAGAATCACTGCAAATTCGAGGTCAGCCTGGGATACATAGTGAGACCTTGTCTCAAAAGGGGGTAGGGCACAGATGTAGCTCAGTGTAAAGGCCATGGGGTCCTTAATATCACATGAAAAGAAAAGGAAAGGAAAGTATCTGGGTTGGGCATGGTGTCACATGCCTGGTCCCAGCATTTGGGAGGCTGAGCCCAGAGGACCACAAGTTCCAGGCCAGCCTGGACTAACATAGTGAGACCTTGTCTCAAAAATCCAAAACAAAAACAAAAACAAAAAATCCTGCATCTGCTCTGTGACAAGGTGATGGTGATCATGTGAAACCAGAGTTAAGAAGAATATTGCCAAATATGCAAATCTCACTTGCGCCTCTGTCTGTCTTTGTTTTAGAACGCTGGGCCACACCATCTCTAGAGAAACCCAGAACCTGCAGGTGCCTTACTTTGTGGATAAAAACTTCGACAAGGCCTACAGAGGAGCTGCTCTTCGTGACCTGGAGAAGATAATAGAGAAGGATTACATCGATTACGTCCAGACAAGTTGTTGGAAGGAGAAACAGCAGAGTAAGATGCTGTCAGAAAACCTTTTGCTGGGGGTTCTGACCCACCTTGAGGAGTCCCCAGCTTCCCAACACTGCCTCTCTCCTGGTTTGGGTTATTTGTGTTGTTTGTGTGAGTCAGACAGAGGACAGAGGCCCATTTAGGGCTACTAGCAAACAAACGAACAAACAAACAAAGCCAGGCAGGGTGGCCTATGCCTGTAACCCCAGCTACTTGGAAGTCTGAGGCAGGAGGATCACAAATTTAGGCCAGTCTGGGCAACTTAGTAAGACTGTGCCCCCAAAATACTAAACAGAGCACCTCAAGATTCAATCCCCGGTAACACACACACACACACACACACACACACACACAGCACGGGGTGAGGGGAGTTGTCTGCCTCACCATGTGGGTCTCTACCACTCTGCCATCTGCCCTGCTCTCCTCTCTGCCACTGGCCTCCCCTTGTCACAGTCATCCTTCTTTGGTACATGCTTGCTGTGGTCACTGTGGGTGCTACCCTCCTGGTTGCTCCCCCAGCTTCCCCGACCCCACCAGTCTCCTTTCTGTATCACAAGCTTCTCCCTGCAGCGCTCAGTGCTAGCTGCTTTGATCCTTAACTGCAGATTCCCACGTTCTTGAGAGGGAAATCTGGTCAAGCCAGCCATTTGGAGCCTAGCATTTTGTTGGTATTGAGTCAGGTGTTCTCCACCCCCTACCTCTGCTGGCTGTGGACACAGAGCAAAAGGGAGTCCCGCTGTCCTGCAGGGGTGTGTGAACAGCCCTTCTGTCTCCCTCTCCGTTAGTGTCCGTGCCAGTGTCTGCTGCTTGGTTTGCAACCCTGATTGTTACTAGGAAGTGCTGGCCCTGCCTCTCAGCCAGCAGCCTCACTTTTTATCACACATGAATTACACACACACACACACACACACACACACCTTTACTAACTACAGCTTATAAAATTTGGCTTTTTAAAATTTTTTTTCCAAAGCAAACTCTTTTTCATCTTTTAAATTTTATTATTGGCTATTATTAAAGTCAACATCTGATAAAATTAGCTCTTTGAATCCTGTCTCCGAAAACAAACAAAATTTAGCTGTTTGGTCACAGTGCTTCTAAACCCCGGCTGACCCAGCACGTTGATTTCTTTCTCTTTCTTTCCTTCATTTTTGTTCTGTACTGGAGGTTGAACCCAAAGCCTTTGCTTTGTTACATCTCCAGCCCTTTTTTTATTTTGAGACAGGGTCTCACTGAGTTACTAAGTTGTCCAGGCTGGGTTTGGATTTATAGTACTTTTGCCTCAGGCTTCCAAGTTACTGGCTTGTAGGCATGAACTGCAACACCCAACCCCCAGCCCTATTTTAATTTTATTTTGAGTCAGAATGTCCTAAAGTGGTCCTTGAACTACTAATCCTCCCACCTCATTTCCCAGGTGGTTAAGTTATAGGCAGCCCAGTGCACTCTGCTCTCTGGCCAGCGCAGCACTGACCATTTAGTGTCTCAGAGGTACTCTGGGCCCCCGGCAGGACTGCTGACAAGGATAATACCATGTCGTAGTCATTGTATGTTCCAGGCTGCTGGCACAGACCGTGCTTCGGAACAGGTGCTCAGCAAATGTCTTTAGCAAAGAGAGGACTCTCAGCGACCAGAAAGCATGAAGAATGCTGAGGATTATGGGTCAGAGAGCAGGGCCAGTGTCCCACCCCAGACCCTTAGTGGCCTTGTCCCTGCCTTCTGTCTGTAAGCCAAACCCCAGCTGCCTTAGGAGGTTGGGGATAATAACTTTGGGATAAGGGACAATTAAGTAGGAGAACGAAATTGCTTTTTCATTAAAAAAAAAAAAAAAACTGAGATGTCAAGAAGTACTATACCACATTGGGGGCTGGGGATTTAGCTCAGCGGCATAAGCGCCTGCCTTGCAAGCAGGCAGTTGTGAGTTCGATCCATGGTACCGATAAAAACGAAAAGACCAAAAAAAAAAAAAAAAAAAAGGAAGTACTATACCACATTGGTTAAACTAGATTTTATATGTTTTAAAAAATAGCAAGGAGTTGGGTGTGGCACATACCTATAATCCCACACTCAGGAGGTTGAGGCAGGAAGATCACTATGAGTTTGAGGGTAGTGGGGGCTACAAAGTGACCTTACAACCAGCCTGAACTACAGAGCAAGATCTTGTCTCAAAAAGAAAACAACAGTGAAGCAAGATAAATGCCTTAGGCATATCTGTCTGGATCCAAATTAGATGAAAGCTGCAGTGTATGTCCTAAACATTCCCATTGTTCTGGGTGCTCGAAGAGTTTTGAATTTACTACTTTCTGCAAGAACTGGAGGAAAATCTACATTCACATCTTCAAACACACACATACACACACACACATACTCCTCTGGCATTCAGATATCGCAAAGCTAGACCTGTGCTGAGCTCATGGTAAGGACTGCACCAACGGGAGCCTCACTCCCACCCACACGTGGCCCGGTTCTGGAGCCTTGGCACTGTGCAGGCTCAAGTGAAAACCCAGCGGGTAGGCAGAATGCTTGTGCTCGCAGCTTCTGTGCATGGTTATGGCACAAAGCCCCGAACGCTATTTCTGACATCCAGGCACAATGGCTGTGCAGAGGCTCCTCGCCCCCCATGCGCCATTTGAGAACACACAGCACCTGCCCTCTGAGCCCGCAGCAAGTGCAGCCAACGAGGGTAAATTTAGCACTTGGAGGTTATAAAAATAAACCCACTTGAGGACAGAGTTCACTCTTGGCAAAATACGGAATGATAACTGTTTTTTAGTCAGGCTTAGCTATTGTCTTCAATTTTGATCTTCAGTTTGTTTCTTTTCTCTACTTTTTCTTAGGATGCCTAATCTGGGTGAATGTTTGTGAGTAATCCCTCACTAGGAGCACTGACTGCCCGGTTCTCTGTCTCCTTCATGGCTGCATCTGTGTCATAAACCTGATGAGGGACAGGCAGGCACTGGCCTAGGCACTGGCCTGGGTACAAGCAGAAGTGCATTCCAGCCTGGTGGAGACCTGACCTTGTCCTACCTGGCTGAGGAGCACTGTTATTTGGCAGTGGTGGTGTCTTTTTGAGATAGGCTCTGTTAAGTGCCTGCTGGCCTTGAACTTGGTTTGTAGCCCAGGCCGGCCTTGAACTCCCAGCAGTCCTCCAGCCCCAGGTGTGTACCTCCACACCTGGCCGAGAGCATTCGTTCCAGGCCCTTGAGCAGGGTTGCAGAGCAAGGAGTTTAGGCTCCCACATGAGGTAGAATGAACTTCCCTCTAGGCTCTAGGAGACAGTGTGGGTATGACTTAGCAGGGTGTTTGACACAGTTGAAATGCCTGATGCCTGCTGGCATCCGGGCTTTGCATGGTCTTGCCCTGGATCATGGAGCTGGCAGCTGGCAGGCTCCAGTCTGGGCTCCTGTGCAGCATGTTCTTGGGAGTGGCCTGAGGCTTGCTTCTCTTGGCAATTTGCCGGAGTCGGTTTACCTTTGAGGCTCAATACTCTGTCCATCTGTTACACTGGTGTTCAGGACAAAGGGAACATTTTGTTAAGAATAAAAAGCATTCTCTGGATCCTATCCCTCCCACAGATTTTTTCCAGCTACTTAAAAGTTACTGAATATTAACAGAACTTGTCAAAAGTAACATTCTTGTGGTGACTCTGCTCATTGAAGGGTGAAAGGATTCTCTGGCAGTTTGGAAATAAGTTTCGTGAGCCTGGCAGTGGGAGTGGGACACAGTTCCTTGAAACGCTGTCCTTTGACAGGGTTATCCTTTGATTTTGTTTTGTTTGAGACAGGGTCTCAAAATGTAGTCAGGTCGACCTGCAGCAAGCCTCCTGTCTCAGCCTCCCAAGTGCTGGGGCTATAGGTGTGCACCACCACACCTGGCTTAGGTAGGGTCATCTCTTAAAGGAGAGATCTCTAATCTTTAGTAACTTTATGTAAAAGCAATATGGTGTTTCAAGAAAAGCATTCATACATGTGTAGATGTCTTATATCAGCTTTTTTTTAACTTCATCAGTTTGTTTGGTTTGGTTTTTTGAAAATGGGTCTTTCTATGAAGTTGACTCTGGCCTTGAATCACTATGTAGTGGAGGCTGACCTCAAACTCCCAGCAATCCTCCTGCCTTTATGTCCTGAGTGTTAGAATTACAGGTGTGTGCCACTATAGCCAGCTATTCTGTTTTGTTTTTTGAAGTTGGGTCTCACTGTGTAGTTCAGGCTGGCCTTGAGCTCAGTATGTTACCAAGGCTGGCCCTGAACTCATAGTGATGCCCCTGCCTCAGTTTCCTGAATGCTGGGATTATAGGCATATGCCACCCCATCTGGCTCATTGGGTTTTACAGTAGTCTTCAGTGTAGAAAATATTTAAGAATCAGTGGCCTTTAATGTTTTCTAGATTGAGACTTCAAAAAATGAGGTATCTAGAAAAGGTCCATAAACAAAAGAACCTAAGGAATTTGAATGAAAAACAAGGCTGTGCAGTTTCTTTTATATACTAGTGGAACTCGGGCACTAAAGAACCAGGCATGTGGGCTGATTTCACCGAGACTTAAACAGGTTTCCCAGGTGTCAAGAAGCACCAGAAATGGAGACAGGAATGAGCCCTGGGCAGGATGCAGGATCTGGGAGTTTTCCCTGGAGTATAGTGCATGGCCCTCTGTGAAGGTGACCGTGCCTGGGCAGCTCAGGCCCGCAGCACCCGCACCTGCAGGCCCTGCTGCCTGCCGAGCAGGTCCTGGCAGGGGGAGGTGGGCAGGGCTTTTCGGTGTGGCCGCCTGGAGACCTGGAGCCCTGCACTTAACTGCTTTTCAGGCTTTACTTGGCATAAATAGAGTCACTGTGAACAGAAACAGGCCAGGCAGTATTTTGCGTGGGTAGACATTTACTCAGAAAGCAATGCCCATTGTTGCTCCTGGCTAAATATTAATTCCTGTTTCCAGGCAGTTTGCTAATTAATCAGACAGGTGCCTCTTGTTCCACCAAGAAAAACAAAATCTATCAGAAAAGTGATTAGGAATGGTTAGGCAGTTACAGAATGATTAAAATGGCACCTACACAAGAGCCGCAGGGCCCGTTCTGCACGCAGTCCTGTTAATACGCAGCTCACCTCCAGAGGTGCTTTCCAGGCATTCTCCTTCAAAATGTCTCAGGAACCTTACAGAATAAAAAATTGAGGCAGCCAAACCACTGTGGAGTAGAAAACATAGCAGAGATTATAGTCTAGCTAAAAATAGAATGACCTTCTCTACCGTGAAAAGAAAATGACATTCATTTAGTCAGAGTCAGAGGTCACCAGATCCAGATGATTCCACTTTTAAAAGAGCCCAGCTGCCTTTTGCCTTTAAGTTGGAGACCCCGCATGTGGTAAGGGAGGGAAGGGAGCCGCCAGCAGCTGGGCCTTGCACAGATGCCTGCCCACCAGAGGTCCAGCAGCGAGTGTGAGGTACGGTGAGCAGTGCTGGGGAAGGAACGAAGCAGCTGTCTTTGTTCACATGGCAGCAGTAGGTGACTGGCTTCAAGCTCCACCTGCCATCCGAACACCAGGGACAGAAGGCCACACAGGCTCCTCTTACTGCACACATGCACATTTCCGAAGTTGGGTGCCAAATGTTTTATTGATAAGAGCTAAGCCCTTATTGATAAGGGCTTTTACAGTACAGCACAGATGCTATGGGATGACAGGATCACAGGTGTCCTCCAATCCTCAGCACCTGGTGCAGTGCCTAATATAAATAGATACATTTAATGGAAAGATAAAACATTTAAGAAGTCAGGCGTGATGGTATGTGCTTGTAATTTCCTCAATCAGGAGGCTGAGGCAGGAAGTTCTACAAGTCTAGGCCAGTCTGGGCAACATAGTGAAACCCTATCTCAAAAAAAGAAAAAGAGAAGCATTTAAGGAAAGGGCACTTTGACTCTAGAAATACTGAAATGAAACATAGGAGCTCAGCTCTTTTGGTGAATTGGTTCTCTCTTTTATCTTTCAGAGTCGGAGTTGACAAACTTGGCAGGATTATACCGAGATGAACGATTGAAACAGAAAGCAGAATCACTGAAACTTGAAAACTGTGAAAAACTTTCCAAACTAATTGGCCTCCGCAGAAGTGGTTGAGAGGGTGATAGGTCTCGTATGGGGTTGGGGTTTTGTTACTTATTACTATTTATGTTCCTAATTCCATTTTATAATAGAAAGTTAGGACAAGATGAACATTTTCCTATTTGCTAATGTTCGTTGGGCAGAGTTGAAGGAATTGAGCACGGAGCCAGACTGGTCACCAGAGTAGCCTTCCCTGCGCAGGGGAGGTCCTTTGAGTTACATGAGTGGCAGAGTATTTCCCTCAGCCCCTGCTCCATTCCTGCCTGGCCTCTGTGAATGCAGTTCAGGGAACCAGAGCACATCCAAATCTGTTTTTCCTGCGACTATTTGATTACAGAGCAGCAGTCTGTTTTCAGCCAAGTATGGTGACACACACTTATATGCCCAGCACTCAGGAGGCTGAGGCAGGAAGATCACTAAGATTTTGAGGCCAGCCTGGGATGCTTTATAGTGTGTTTAAGGCCAGCCTAAACTATTGAGATGCTGTAAAAAAAAAAAAAAAAATCTGTTTTGGATTTAGAAAGGATGGATTTCTTCCTTCTTACCTTCTTCAGTGAAACCTCAATATCCAGGCATTCCTAGGCTTATCCAAAGCAGTTTCATGTTATTTATGTCCGCTAAGAACTAGACTTCTCTTCCTGTGGGGTCATCAGCACCCTGGGGATGCAGCCTTTGGAACTTTTTCCTACTCAACTGTCCATTTTCTAAGGGGAATGGAGAGGAAGGAAAGCTGTTTAGCCTGTAGTTTTCTATTACCCCAATCTTTGTTCAGTCAAGGAACGTTAGCAAATTGCCTGATTTGAGGCTCCTTTATTTTCTTAATCCTCTCTCTGGCAGAGGGACCAGAAAAAATCGAAGACTGTGAAACAGTTGAGCAAACAGCTCAGCAGCAGAAAGGATGCTGGGCAGAAGCTGAAGTGAAAGCTTTTCCCCACTCCTCAGTCAGATTCCACATCTGCTGTAGGAGGCAGAGACGCTCCCCTGTGTGATTTCCCTCAGGGTCATCACTTGGAATCGTCACATTTGAGCTGAGTCCCCGCATCCCTGTGTACAGCTGCCAGGGCAGACAAGCAGCATTGCCAGCAGCCAGCCGTGGCTCTAGCCTGGAGGTGCAGGGAGACGTCCTGACTAGTGACGGCCTCTGCAGTCATTTTGGGTAAAGCAATGTCCGAGAGTTTGTGGTGTGAGCTGCTTTTTCATTCATTCACTGTTTACTGAGAGCTTACTATAAAGCCAGGACTCTCCCTGAGCATTTTGTTACTTGAGCCTCCTGGCAACTCTGTGCAGATATTCCATCTGTTTTGGTCTGGGTCACACCGTGGCCAGGTGGTAGGGCAATTGTCAAGTAGAAAGCGTGAGAGGTCACCTTTAGTTCTCAGGGGATCCTGGTCAGACTCTTTCCCAGGGAGGCCTCTGTACCTGCCACCCCAGAGCACCCCTGCATCTCTCTACAGATGCCTACATCCCTTTGGGACAATTTCCCTGCTGGCCTTTAGGAAGCTGGGTCTTCACTATACAAGTCCCATACGCAGAATAGGAGGTCCCTCAAAGGCAGGCGAGCTTTCCTGCTGGTGACAAGAACTAAGGTATCACCTCGGCTACATGTACCAGGCCTTCCTGTGGAGGTGAGTGACCAGGAGTGAGCTGCCACATCATCCCAGCAATGTCCAGTGTGGTTCAGCACATCTTGCTCCAGAGGCAGAATGGGCCTTTAGTGGCAGGTGAGAGACAACTGCTCAACTAAGGAGAGGTGGAACAGGTCTACAAACAGCCAGGCTTCTCTCAAACTCATGATCCTCCTGCCTCAGCCTCCAGACTAGCCGGGACAGGCATGTGCTGCCACTCCCAGTTTTCCTGGTTTTATTTATATTTTTATTTTTGTCTTTTTAAAACAGGGTCTCATTATGCAGTTCAGGCTGGCCTTGAACTTACTTTGTAGCCCAGGCTGGTCTCAAATTTGCAACAATTCTCTTGCCTCAGCATCCTGCGTGCTGAGTGCTGACTACAAGTGCGTGCCACCATGCCCAGATTTTCCTGGTTGGGGGCCTCCTTGACCTCTCGGTGACAGGGGATTTACACTATAAAATGGGCTTCTGGAAAGTTCCTTTACACACAAAAATCAAAGCTCTCCTCACCCTTAACCTCTGCCAGAAAACAGGCCACACTGAAAGGACAGGTTAAAAGGCCCTGCTCTAGATGCCCACGAATAGCGTAGTCACATTTTACAGACTTCATAGTAGTGATGAGTCATCTGTGATGATGCTAACTAGAGGTGGTACTGACTTCATTGTCATGCTGATGTCTATTTTTATAGCATTGATGGTACCTTTTTTTTGTTACTAATAGGCCACAGACTCCCATCTGGTTTTTCTCAAACTGTCCTTTGGCTGAAGGACAGTTGAATCTACTGTATTTGATACTGTTAAACTCTACTAATTTCCTTGGTTATGTTTTAGATGGGTTGTCTGCACAGTGGTAAAATAAGCTTCTTTCCTCTTGCCTGCATCCTTTGGAAGACTCCCTGATAGCACAGAACCTCTTCCAGTGACGCTGTGCCCATGGTTGGAGCTTGCACCTGCTGCTCTGTTGCTCTGAATTCCCGAACCCTGCAGCTGGCACCAGGAGTGGGGCTGAGACACAGGGCTTGGGGCTCCTGCAGAACCCAGAGCTCTGTTCCAGTGACCAGCATTGAGGAGGGATGAAACGCCTTCTCATCATGACAGCACCACCCTGGCAGAAATCCATGTCCCCAGGTGTCATCTGCTCAAACTTCTGAGCTTCTGTGATCAGCCCCAGGCCCAAAGTTTGGGAGCAGGGACCAATAAGCAAAGGACATTGCTCTGCTCACTGGTGGAAATGACTGGAAATTGCATTGGATGCCAAACCCCACCAGAATGCCAGCACAGCAGCTGGCCAAGCAGTGCACTCTTCTTATTTCCTTTCTGGCGCCGTGAGGGGCGCGGGGGTCCAGCAGCGTGGTCACAGCTGGCCACGCATCCAGTCCATCGTCTGTGCATGCACTGCTCCTCACAGGAGCTGGCGCTTCGCTTGCGTTTATTTTAGATTCATTGAAGGTGTTGCCTTAGTGTCCTAATACATTTATTTTTGGCAAGGTTAAGTCACTACACATATTTTTGAACCTGCATTGCTGATACCTCATGCAGTGGCCACCAACTGCCTACCCGTGTGTTCGCTATGGATGGCACTATTTGCATCCCTCTCAGTGTTCTGAATTAAAGATGTGACTGTTTGGTGACCAGAGTTAGGGATGACCCATGAAATCAGCTCCTGGTAGAGTAAGAATCCTGAAAACTCTGGCACCTGATCCACTGCATCTAGATTGAGTGTATTTTAACGAAGAAAAACATTAAATGATTTTTCTATAAAGAGAATGGCTTCATATTCTTCCTGTGTTCTTTGGCCTTTGCCTGTGACCCCCTTGGGGACTGTAAATACTTGACTCCCTTGCAGCCACTGGGCACTAGAGAAACTGTTGACCTCTGTGCCAATCTCCCCTCATCTAATGGCAGGAGGATTATTTGAGTTTAGAACAGTGGGCAGCATTGATGGCATCAAAAATGACACATTTTCTGTCAGATAACAGCAGCTGCAGCACATTATACCCAATCTACAGGTGAAGACTACATGAGCACCAGACAAAGCAGGTGAAGAGCAGGGCATGGTGGCACACACCTATAGTCCTAGTGCTCAGGAGGCTGAGGCAGGATCGCTGTAAATTAAAGGCCAGCCTGTCTCAAAGAAAGAAAAGGAAAGGAAAAATCAGATGTAATCCCAATTCCTTGCTGGCTTTGTTCTCAGTGGCCCATAGTTAGAAAAGTTTTGATTTTAAAATACAGTTATGCCAGGCCTGGCAGTACATGCCTGTAATCCCATTACGGAAGGAGGTGAGATCACAAGTTCAAGTCTCACCTGAGCAGTTTAGTGACCTTTTCAAAATAAAAACTAAGCGCTGAGGATGAAGTTTGGTGGTACAGCACCTGCGGGCTTGCTCCCTGGTACTGGGGGAATCAGTTTATAACACTCCAGTGAGCTCATCTAACCACACCAGCTTTCTCTTAAGGGAAAAGACATGAGAGTCAATTCAGGAAAATGTGAGGGCTTGCTATGTGCCAGAAGGGGTGAGTTTTTCAGATAGGTGTCAGGAAACAAGTGAGACCCATTCCCAAGGCACTTGGAACAAACATCTAGTGAGCAAATCAGGCTTTAGGTTAGGCATCCCTGTGGGATGGGTGTCACAGGAGACACAAAGTGGCCCACAGGAGTTTATAATAAAGGGATCAGGAAGAGAAACATAATCACCTTTTCCATGGAGATGAGTGAACATTTGGGGGGGGGGTGCCAGGAATTGAACTCAGGACCTTGTGCCTGGCAGGCAGTTACTTATGCTGCTGAGCTATATCCCCAGCACCAAATATTTTTTAAATGGAGGAGCATGAAAGCCACACACTGTGCTTCCTTTCCATGAACAGCATTACCAACTGGCAGTGACCACACCTAATCTTCATGCCATTTCATGGTCCTCTTTCTAGTCTGGGATGGTCTTTCATCCCTTCCAACCAATAGAAAGTCGCCAAACTGGCAGCCTCCACTTTTGCACTTGGAGGAAAAAGCAGCCACCATTTCATTCCGGCTCCTCTGAGAACACTATGCTGCCACATAGAAAAGCTGCGGAGAGAACCACACAACCAAGTTGAGCATTGATGTCCCCCTGGATGATGGGTAGAGTGGACAATCTTTGACCATAGAACTGGAACCGCATAAGGAAGACTGGTGTCGTTTTTAAGCTGTGTTTCATTTATGACTGTAACCCTAGATAACCAAAACATTTTGACGGTCCTTTCCCCAACCCGCCCATCTTTAAATCTTGTTGCTTTTACCTCTAAAACACCCTAAACCTATTGCTTCATCTCCTCTGATACCACCTGGCTCTCACTACTGAGTACTTTCATTGTAGTGGCCTCCTATCTCTGCATGATCACAAAGTCCCCTCCAATCTACATACCTAGTCAGAGGGGTGTTTTGGTTTGGTTTGGTTTTGCAGTTCTATGAATTGATTCCAGGGGTATTGAGCTACATTTCTAGATCAATTGATTGAGTTTGTATGAGACAGAGTCTCACTATGTACCCCAGGCTGGTCTCAAATTTTTGGCAATCCTCCTGCGTTAGCCTCCTGGGTGCTGGGATTACAGGGGTGTTCCACTACACCCAGCCCTCTTTTTATTTTTTGAGACAGGGTCTCAATAAATTGCCCAAGCTGGCTTTGAACTTGCCACCCTTCTGCCTCAGCTTCCTGGGTAACTCAGATTACAGCATGCACTACCACACCCAGATCAGTATCTTTCTTTTGTCACCAGAAGGAAAACCAATTTCTTAGCATGGCCTGCCATGGTTAGCAGAGCTCTGCTAAGTTCTTGGCCTCTCCTCATTGGCATAAGCATCGTTTTCTTTTCTGAAATACTAACTTTCAGCTCACACACTCTACTAAATTCTTTACCCCAGGGACTTTGCATGTACCATTCCCATTTTCTAGAATCTTTCCCTACTTACTTGCCTCAACTCTTTCCTAAAGGCCTCGCAGTTGTCTTCACAGGTCTCAGCTGGACCATCCCATCCTCCTAGAAGGTATGAGTGTGTGTCTCCTCTCACTGAAAGCAGACTCTGACTCCCTGGCCAGGGGTGTAGCTCAGGGTGTAGCCCAGGGGGCTTCCTCAGCAAGTGTAAGGCCCTGGGTTCCATTACCAGCAACATGCACACACTGTGAACAGAAATCACACTGGGCTGGGCTTTGAGACACTGGCACTTTCCATTCGTTTTGGATACTCTCTCTCTTTGACTCAGTCACTATGCAATGAAAAATTCCTGGCAGCCCAGGAAGAGAAAGCCAGAGTGTTATGGTTTGATAACTAGTGGTCAACTTAACGCCAGCTGGATTACATCAGCATGCATTGAGAGAAGATGCTCCACCTGAGAAGGGTTGCCAGGATAAATAGGTGGAGAAGAAGAGAGGTGTGGAGAGGGATTGAGGCGTTATGGAGGCACTGTTGGTTCTCCTACGAGTTACTGTCTGAGCTGTTGGTTCTCCTGGAGAAGCTTTGGTCTTCACATCGAGCATTGCTTCCTGGCTCTGGAGGGGAAGACATGTGCTGCTTGGTCTCCAGGATGAACTCGTCACGCTGCTTCCTGGCACGTTCCCGACTGTGCTTGTCGGAGGAGGAGCTCGGGGCCTCCATGTCGCTGAGGACAGCTGTGGTTCCTTTCAGGACAGCCCCGCTCTTTGTTGTGAGTGTGACTTCTTGGCTCCAGTGTAGAACCCTCATCCCACTAGCACAGCTCCTTCATCCTGCTGGCATAGACTTTCTGGCTTCCACCGCTGACCCTTGGGTCTTCCCGGCACGAATCTGTAAAAGAGACTGGCGTGAGTCCTTCTTGTGGGCTCTGGACTTCCAGTTGGACTCGTGGAGGTGTTGTTCTGAGCTCTGGGTTTTTATCTGGACTCATGTGAGATATTGCCATGGGGTTTAGGCTGTTGACTTAAATAATATATGTCGGGGGCTGGGGATTTAGCTCAGCGGCATAAGCGCCTGCCTTGCAAGCAGGCAGTCGTGAGTTCGATCCCTGGTACCGATAAAAACGCAAAAGACCAAAAAAAAAAAAAAAAATAATATATGTCGTTGGTGTTGTGGATAGATTTCCTGCATTCTCCTGTGTTAACTTTCAGTGACCATTATAAACATATTATAAACTCCATGTCCTGACCTGAATTGTTCTCTGTGTAATAACCCCGGACTACAACACAGAGCCTTGGTCCTCCACTCTGGCTGTGCACCCAGTGGCCTTTCCAGACCTCGTGGAACCATCTCACCTAACACTGTGGGCAGCAGATGGGTCACCATTGAACCCTGCCCTAGTTATAGGTCCCTAGGCAAAATGAGCTTTAAAATATGGGGGTTGTTTGTTATGCAGCAATAAAATGGAACACCAACCTGATAACAAGTGATGCAGAGAGGTGGCCTCTCCAGGGCAGGCTCACAGAGCTGTTTGTGATGTCATCCTAAGCCTCACTGGGTCCTGGTTGACCAGAAGCCAGGGTGCTTGTTGATTCCCAGAGTTGGAAGCTGGGGTGGTTCCCAGCCAGGTGGCTGTCCCTCATGCCCACTTGAGGTTGCAGGTGTGAGCTTGGTCCTCTCATAGCTCCATGCTCAGGGCACTGGTGGCCAAGCCTGTGCTCATCAGGGTTTGCCCCAGAGAGATGGAGGACAGCCTGTGGTAAAGAGGAGTTTAAATGGCAAAAGAAGGACATGAAGCAGCACCAGATAAAAGACCCAGGAAGGGAGCACAGTTCATAGGGAAGACAGGATCACTGACCCAGAGGAATGTGTGGCTTTGTCCAAGGGGGCTGAGGTGAACATTTATTCTGGTAAACAGAGTTCTGGCCAGGCAGAGGTGCACAACCCACATAGCACCCCCTAAAACCATGCTGTGCAATACAGTAGCCATCATGATTCACATGTAAAATGCTAGGCTGGGGGTATGGCTCAGTGTAAAGAGCTTGTCTAGCATGCACAAGGGCCTGCGTTCTATTCCCAGCACCACACATATATGTGCAGAGTCCAAGCAGGTGGCAGATGCCAGTAAGCCTGCCTCTCTGGGAGGCCGAGGCAAGAGGATTTCAAGTTCAATCACAGACTAGGCAATTTAGTGACATTGTGAGATATTGTCCCAAAATAAAAAATAAGGTCTGGTGACACAGTATGCTCAGTAGGGAGGCCATGGGTTCCATTCCCAGTATCAAAGGAAAAAATAAAGTTTTATAAACTTTAAAAACCAATTCCTTTGGAGCTAGGCATGGTGGCACTTGCCTGTAATCCAAGTGCTAACTAAGGAGGATAAGGCAAAAGGATCAACACAAGTTCAAGGACAGCGTGGGCTAAATAGTGAGTTCAAGGGTAGCCTAGAATACATAGCAAAACTGTGGATAAAAAACAAAACCAAAAAGTTGAGCAGGGTGGCACACTTCTGTAATCCCAGGGTGAGGCAGGAGAACTGTTCTCAAGTTAGAGACCAGCCTGGGCTACAAAGCTCAAGGCCAGCCTAAACTGCATAGTGAGATGCTTGTCTCAAAAAGACAAAACAAAAACCCACAATTCCTTTAGCACAAGAGTTACATTTGAAATGCTACATAGCCACACATGGCTAGTGGACACACAGAAGTAGAACACTGAATTACTGAAGTTCTATTGAATAAGCTGGTCTTTAATAGAAGTCAGTAAGGCTGGGCAGGTGGGCCATGTACCCCAGCACTCAGGAGGCTGAGGCAGAAAGATCATTCTGAGTTTCAGGTTAGCCTGGGCTATATAATTAGACCCTTTATAATTAGGTTAAATAATGTCTCAACTGTCTCTCTCCCCTCACAAAAAAATAAAAAAAAGCTGCTCAAGAGTGTGATGACACGGGGCTGGGGATTTAGCTCAGTGGCATAAGCGCCTGCCTTGGAAGCAGGCAGTTGTGAGTTCAATCCCTGGTACCGAAAAAGACCAAAAAAAAAAAAAAAAAAGAGTGTGATGACACACATCTGTAATTCCAGCACTTGGGAGGCTGGAGTAGGAGGATCACCACAAGTTTGAGGCCAGCCTCTACTACATAGTGAGACTGTCTCAAAACAAACAACTAAATGTATAGTGGGCTAAATAATACTTTCCAAATTTAAGACCTTTTGTTACTAGGTCAAAATTCTTTACATATACAACTCAAAGCATAAAGTTTATTTTGGCTCAGTTGCAAGTTGCAAAAATCAGTCCCGTTCAGTCCCTGGTCAGCTGGCTCCCAGGCAGAGGCATCATGGTGGAAGGGACACAGTAGAGGACAAATGCTCACTTCATGGCAGCCAGGAAGCAGAACTCAGGGAGAGAGCCAGAGAGAGAGAAGGGACTGAGAACAAGAACACACCATTCCGGTCTCAACCCCCAGGGACCGATTTCCTCCAACCAGACTCATCTCATAACAGCACATTTGGCTTAACTTGTTCCTTAGGTTCATGGCCCATGATCTAATCACCTTCCAAAAGCCCCACACTAAATTTGGGATGACTTTTTTTTGTTGTTGTATTTTTCACACAGGGTTTCCCTACATAGTTCAGACAGCTTTAAACTCACTACATACCCTATGGTAGCATCAAACTTCAGGTGATCCTCCTGCCTCAGTCTCCCAAGTGCTGGGATTACAGCCATGGGTAGGGTAACATTTTTGATCCAAACAATAACACCAGAGGAGGTGACATTTGAATTAGGCTGGAATAGGGGCTGGGGATTTAGCTCAGCGGCATAAGCACCTGCCTTGCAAGCAGGCGGTCATGAGTTCGATCCTTGGTACCAATAAAAATGAAAAAGACAAAAAAAAAAAAAAAAAAAAAAAAAAAAGAATTAGGCTGGAATAGATGGTTAGTGTTTAAATGTGAGGAACAGGGGTTGGGGATTTAGCTCAGCAACATAAGCACCTGCCTTGCAGGCAGTCATGAGTTCGATCCCTGGTACCAATTAAAAAAAAACGAAAATAAATAAATAAAATGTGAGGAACAGAGAGAGTGCTATAGTCCCTGTAGTTCCAGCATTCAGGAGGCTGACACAGGTGAACTGCCTCGTTTGAGCCACCCTGGGCTACATAGTGAATTCAAGGACAACCTGAATTACAGAGTGAAACTCTGTCTCAAAAAATAAAAAATTTAAACAGTGGAGAAAATAACTCAGACATATAGGTGCACCCCTGTAAACCCAGTACTCAGAAGGCTGAGACAGGATTATTGCTGCAAGGTCAGGCCAGTCTGGGCTAGATAGAGACTCTGCTTCAAAATGCAGTATAGTAAAAGTTAACTACATAAAATAAAAAATAAATAAAAAGAGGGCCCAATATTGGAAAGGGACCAAGAAATGAGTGGAGAGGATGGGAGGAAAGAGGAAGAACGAAAAGAATAAAATGTGTTATGTGGCTGTACCAACTCCCCACAATGAATTGTGTACTGCAAACATGTACTAATAAAAATTTTAATAAAGCTCAATAGTGCCTCAACACAGTATTATCTGAGGTTAAAAAAAAAGCCTTCAGTGGTGATCATGTGATCTTTGTCCTCTCCTGCCTGCTTTTCAGATGTCTTCCCAGTCAAGCCCCACTACAGACCTCCTGCTCTCTTCCCTGGCCCTTCAGGGTCAGATACACCTCTCTCGTGGCTATCCAGAACCTGGTATCACAGCATGAGGACTCCTGGATGAAGCCATTCTCCTTTTATATCTTCGTTGTCTAGGATTAGGCATCCTAAGTGCTATATTCTAGGAGGCTGGTGTCTCTTAGTATAGGGGAAATATGAACATCAGGGTAGGAGAGGCCCGGGATGATGGACAATGTAGGCCTGCCTAAACTGGCTCTCTTGTCAGTGTCTTGCAATTTAACAAGCCGTGGAGGAAGACTTGTCTCAAGTTGTCTGTTCACTGACAGTAAAAGTAGTAGAGCACTGCTTGCTCCCCAGAATTGCGCGAAAATCAAGATACAATAAACGTGCGAATTTTCTGTAAATTCTCATAGGTGGAGGTTCTTTGGTTCTAGGCTACTCCTTTAAGAGGCGGGCCCAACGTCTCCTGACGGAGAAGCCCCCGCCCCCAGTTGCCAAGGTGCTCTGTGGCGTCTCACTCTCATTGGTGGGTGACGGTGGCGGGGCCCAGAGGGGCGGCCATTTCCAACGAGCTGGCGGGGGCAAAAGATGGAGTCGCCCCTCGGGTGGTCGCCGGGGGGCCCGGGCTCTGTATGCCTCGCCTTCGACCAACTGCGGGACGTAATTGAATCACAGGAGGAACTTATCCACCAGCTGAAGAATGTGGTACGCAGACAGGAGAGCTCGGGGAAGGGCGACTGAATGCCCTACCGGTGGGGGCGAGGCCAGGCCCTGTTTGGGTGGGAGGGGCGTGGCTAGAACGCGTTGCCGAAGGGGTCGTCGGGAGGAGGCGGGACCCTGGTGAATCCTGGCTGGGAGGGATGTAGCTCAAAGTGGTGGGGCTTCCTGAAGATTTGCCAGAGAATTTTCACCGAAGTTTAGCAATACGTACACTCTGCCTACGGTAGTAGATCATCCCTGTCCGTCAGCTTCTCCATTTTTAGTGGTGGTGACGTCGCTGTTCTGCCAAAGCCGTCCTGTGGGAGCAGGGAAATTGGTATCCCTTCTGCTCTGCACACACCTCCCCAGTGTCAAATGCAGTGCCATGCTGAGAACAGTAAACACAGATTTGGCCCTTGAGCAGGCTGATTTAAGGATTTCCAAGCAACCTGTATCCTGTTGCTTTTTTCTTCTTAAACCCCAGCTAACAGGTCCAAAGTATTGGAGCCACAGATGGCCTCCAGTGGAGGCCAACTGGAGGCCAAGTTTTTCTGTTCTGATATTTCTGCCTCAGTAAGAATGTCAGGATATATTTTCAGTTTAGAAATAAAGAATCTGGTAATGCACGCCTGTAATCCCAGCACTTGAAAGGCCGAGGCAGGGAGATCACTGTGATTTCAAGGCTAGCCTGGGCTACATAGTGAGTTCAAGGCCAGTCAAGTACACAGTGAGACCATCTCAAAAAAAAAAAAACAAGGAAAGGAAAGGAGAAAAAAAAACTGGCTTCACTTGTGTTTATTAAGCTGAAGATTCACAAACAACTTCTTCCCTTCTGGGAGTTGGATGTGGAGACATGTGAGAGACATGCTCTGTTGACTACCCTAAAACTCTGTTTCAACAAAAATGTTACAAGCTTTAGATTGGGAACAAATTCACAATGGCTAATTTTGCATACTTCTGTAAGGGAGAAATGGAGGTTTGGGATTACCTGTATCACCCATTTAAGACTTCTCATTAGGTTTTAGGGATGGGCCATCCTCTTGCACTCACTAAGACTAAAACTAAAACAACTAAATTCAAAAAACATTCCAGGGCAAGATCTTTCTTAGCATAAGATCATCTCTGCCCTCTTAAGTCATACCAAAATTATACTTGTCTGCTGAGTCACAAGCCTCTGAGTCTCTTGCCAATTTTGAATCTACCACTAGTCCTGTCAAACACTGTGTACAACCAATAGTGATCCACATGGACCATTCTGTGGTCCATTTGGAGACATCAACTTTGCAGTCACTCATCAGGTATTACTAAATTTGTGCTCCTAAATTTTATGCTCTAGCTGTATCCTTGATGCAGGCAATTGGAGATCTTGATCAGGTCTCTGATAGCTCTCGGCACTAAATTACCTTCCATTACCTGAAGATACCCAGATCTTTCTCTTGGTAGCTAGCTTTGGCATGTGTGTTCACACCATCTGGAACACAGTATTCTCTCTGCTTCTTTTCTGGCCCATCCTGTTTAGCAGTCAGACGTTAGTATTAAGTCACCTTCTTTAAAAGCAGTTCTGACCCTTATGCTGCATCAGGTGCCCTTCTGGGTGCCACAGCCCTAGGCTTTATCATTATGGCATACACTGTTAGGTGCAGGTTTGAGCTCTCTCCTCTATGATTGCACCTTGAAAGCAGGATTTGGAGATGGGCCTCAATGAATCTGGAACTGACTTCTCCCTTTCCAGAGCCTGTCTCATCCTAGGTGCCCTGCACATCAATCCATTATCCAGCCTTTGTCCTCATCCCTAGAGGGTACCCCTCCCATCCCAGCTCCCAAGTCCTCCCTGAGCCAAGCTCTGTTGCAGATGATTCTCCAGGATGAAAATTTTGTCAGTAAAGAAGAATTTAAGGCCATGGAGAAGAAGCTGGCAGTAAGTAATGGCCTATGCAATCTAATCTTTGCCCATTTCCCAAGATCTCTGTGGTTGGGTAGCACCATTGAGAATCTTCAATCCCCTTGGTGAGTCCAGAACCTTCCTGTACCCTGTCTTCTGTCTGCCCCCCTGAAAAAGGGCTGGTCAAGAAGTCTAGAGGCCTAAGGTGGCTTGGGGTAATGAGGTGACTGCTGCTACCCCTATAGGAAGAGAGAGCTGCCCATGCCAAGACCAAACTCCTCCTGGCCAAGGAAGAGGAGAAGCTGCAGTTTGCCCTTGGAGAGGTGGAGGTGCTGTCCAAGCAGCTGGAGAAAGAGAAGGTGGCCTTTGAAAAAGCGTGAGTGGGGCTTGGGAGGGACTGTGGAAAGAAGGGTCCTGTCTGTCTGCTGGCCCGTCCTCCTCTCATCGTGTCCCCCCCCCCCCCCGCCTCCAGGCTCTCCAATGTCAAGAGCAGAGTCCTGCAGGAGTCCAGCAAGAAGGACCAGCTCATCACCAAGTGCAATGGTAGGCGGGAGGCCCACGCTCCCCTGCATGGTAGCATACACCACGGGCACGGGCACGGGCACTTTCCTGGCAGCCCAGTGTCTGTGTCCAAAAGCGGGTTTCACCACAACTTCTGTACCCGGCTGAGGATACATGCAGGCCCAAGCGGACAGCACCTTCGAAAAGGCCTTCAGGGACCAGGCAGGTCACGGAAATGAGGGAAGCAGTCGGTGAACAATATTCTTCACGACCATAAAGGAATGGGCTTGCTCCCATTTTTCTTAAAACCTAACTATCTTCTTAGTCACCTTTTGTGTCTCCATTTTAGAGAAAATGTACTTTACTTACATTTCTGCTATAAGGGGAACAGCAGGGTGAGAAGTCCTGTTGGGGAACTGGCTGTTAGTCTCAGGGTCAGGGACTCACTTGGGAGATGGGGACTGATGACATGGAGAGCTGTGCTGTCTTTCAGGGCAGTGCCATGTTGAGGGCAGTAAACTGTTGCTGTGGAAGTGGGGATCCAAATTGCCAGCTTTTTACAAAATGAACTAGAAATCAGGGTTTCTGTTTTATTTTATTTGAGACAGGGTTTCACTATGTAATTCAGACCCGCCTCGAACTTACTAAGGAGCCCAGGCTGTCTTCAAACTCACAGCAATCCTCCTGACTCAGCCTCCCAAGTGCTGAGATGACAGGCATGCACCACCATGCCCAGCTATTTTGTTTTGTTTGGGTGTGAACCCAGGTCCTTCACATGGAACTGTTCTTCTGTTTATTTTATTTTATTTTGGTACTGGGGTTTGAACCCATGACCTCATGCTTGCCAAGCAGGCACTTACACCACTGAGTTGTATTCCTCCCCTTTTTAATATTTTATTTTGAGGGGGCAGTACCAGGGACTGAACCCACAGCCTCATGCCTGCCAGGAAGGCTCTTGTGCCAGTGAGCTAAATCCCTGGCCCCTCTTCACGTGGAACTACATCTCCAGCCCCTTTTTTTGTTTTATTTTGAAATAGGATTTACTGAATTGCTAAATTGCCCAGGCTGGGCTTAAACTTGCAGTCTTTTTGCCTCAGTCTCCTGAAGTGCTAGGATTACAGACAAGCACCACCATTCCTGGGTAGAAAACAAATCTTAATGGAAACTTATCTAACTGTATAGTGTTAGCAATGGATCTAAACATCTTTTTATTTAAACATTTTAGTATTTACAGACCAAGGTATGTCTGGGCCACCAGTTTTCAACTCTGCCCTACACACATACCTGTGGTGATATACTGGCTTAGTTGGTGCTGTGAGTTGGGCCACTTTCAGAGCCAGCTACCCAGTGTCCTGAGACCCCAGAAATGCTTTTCTTTCTCCCTTGTTATTTCAGGGGTGGTGGTGGACAGGGGACAGTTTTGAGACAGGGTCTCACTATGTAATTTAGGCTGGTCTTGAATTCACCAAGTAGCCCCGGCTGGCTTCAGATTCCCAGTGGTCCTTCTGCCTCAGCCTCCTGAGTGCTGGAATTACAGGTGTGCACCACCACGCCCAGCAGGAACCTCTTTCATTTTGCCAGAATGCTGAGCTTCTGTTACCCAGGTTATGAGATATGAAATCCACACACACAATATCTTCCTCGTTCACTACAACAGACCTCAAGTAGGAAACAGTCCAGGCCCAAAAGAGGGACAGGTCCCTCCTAGTGGGACCCTCACCTAGAGAGGCCTGGCATCCCTCATCCACCACTCCAGCCTTCTGTCTGCCGGTTAAAGTTCTCACTGGGAAGTGGCAGCAGGGTGACATTTTGACCTGGCCGGGCATGCTGACAGCCAAAAGGGTTATAAGCAGTGGCTTCTGTCAGGATCTCCTGGGACTCCAGAGATAGTCACTGCTTCCATGCCCAAGGCTGCAGGTCTCGTGTCCTCCTCCCTACCCTGATTCTCCTAACGGGATCTGGAGTTCTCTCTTGGGGCAACTGGACACTTCTTTCCCACAGGCATTTTCTTTGGTAGAGGTCTGCCCAAGCCCAGAGCTCTGTGTCCACCTGTGTCACTGAGTCAGGGCCTGGCTTCCTCCCTTAGAATGTCCTGAACCCCTCCAACAGGCCACAGGCTCTTACCTGGGCCGATCTAGTGCTGTGGCCCTCTCCCTGACCTGTACCCACCTCTGCCACGATCCTCTGTGTGGTTTGGTTTCTGTACTTACAGTGTTGGGTTTTTTTCCCGTCTTTAGCTGGGGTTGGTCTCAAACTTGCAACAATCCTCCTGCCTCAGCCTCGAGAGTGCTGGGATTACAGGTATATGCCATCGTGCTCATCTCCTTACAGTGTTCATCACTGTTCTTATAGGGAGGTTTGTTTAAACAGGTTCTTGCTACATAGTCCACATTGGCCTCCAACCTGAAATACCCCTGCATCAGCCTCCTGAGTGCTACTCCTAAGCTACAGGTTCAGTCCTCTTTTTTTTCCTGTCTTTCTTTTTTTGGCAGAGGGTCTCACTATATAGTTCAGGGTGGACTTGTACTTAATATGTAGTTCAGGCTGACTTTGAACTTGTGGTGATCCTCCTCCTTCATCTTCCTTAATTACAAGTGTGAATTACTAAGCCTAGCTCCTCTTTTTTTTTTTTTTTTTTTTTTTGGTACTGGGGCAAACTCACAACCTTGTGCTTGCCAGGCAGGTGCTTATATTGCTGAGCTAAATGCCTGGTCCTCTTTTGGTTTTTGAGACAGGGTCTCATTAAGTGCCCTGGCAACTTAACTATCATGCCCAGCAACAAAGGAAGGGATTTTTTAAAAAATCATTCTTTTACTGACTGCTACAGGTATGTGTGTGTGTGTGTGTGGTACCACCAATTGAACTTAACAACTTTGTGTTTGCCAAGCAAGTGCTAATGCTGCTGAGCTAAATGCCCAGCCTGATGCCACAGGTTTTAAGAGTTACATAGTTTTGTAATTCTTTTGCCTAAAGAACTTCACAAGCAGACTGGCATGCTGGTGCACACTTGTAATGCCAGCACTGCAGAGCCCATCCAAGGCAGCTTAAGTGATTTAGTGAGATGCTGTCTCAAAATAAATTAATAAAAGAGCAAAGGATATAGCTCAATGCGAAGGCTCTTAGCTCAGTTATCTGCACCATAAAAGAAAACAAAAAGCAGGCCAGGCATGGTGACTATACCATAGACTGAGGCAGGAGAATGGTGCGTTCAAAGACAACCTGGGCTACTGAGCAAATTCAACAGCAGTTTGACTACACAGCAAGACACAGGCCCAAAGGAGCAAGCAAAGAGAGACCTCAGTTTAGCTGGCTGACTGTGGGGCTCAATACTTGCATTGTGGGCAAGTCAGTCGGTATCTTCCTCCCTTCCCCTCTTCCCCCATGCTGGGCCTTGACCTGATACCAAGTTTTCTAAAACCCTAAATGCACCTGCGTTTCTACATTGTTAGAGTTCAAGTCCTAGTTAATCTTCAGCCATTAAAGGCAGCAGGATTTTCTTCTGTGAATCAGAATTTTCTAGGGCTCCCTGAGGGGTACTTACATAAATGATGCACCAGCAGAATCCCTACAGCCTCCTTTGATTTTGATCCCACACAGAAAATCACTGTTTATCAAATGTGTGTCTAATTTGAGGATGTTCTTTGCTACCAGTGTCTCACTGGGTCCTTTGTACTCCACTGCAGTTTAGAGGCTCTGGCCCCATCTTACAGATGAGAACATGAGTCTGAAAAGAGAGGCAACTGGCCCAAAGTGGTAATGTTTCCTCATCACTGTCAGCTTTATTGAAATGTTGTGTGGCCCTGTTCTAATCAATCCCCACGTCTTCTCTTTGTAGTACCAAGGATAGAATGCAGCCCTGCATAGGTGCGTGCTGTACCACTGAGCTTGCCCCTGTCCTCCCCAACCCAACCCAGTCCTCTACCCCCAACTCCTAACACTACTTTCAGGAGCTATCTCCTACAGGTAGGGATCGCACCCTCCACCACCCCTGAAACCCTAGTGCCAGGAAGTGACCAACTGGCCCTCAGTTGGACTGAGATTGCTGAACTAGATATTTCTGAGTCCTAGGCCTCTGGGGTATAGCCCGCCCGTTCGTTCCACAGATATATTTAGTGTGCCCCTAATATGTCCCTGGTACTGTTTTAGGTCTTAGGGATAAAGCACCAAATAACATAAAAATCCCTGACCTTGTAGGCTTTACACCCTACTTTGGAAGATAAATATGTATGTTAGATCTAGACACTAAGGAAAAAAGTAGAAATGCCTGAGAAGTAGGAAGAAGTTGACAGGAACTATTGGGAAGAGCTGTAACTTTTAGACAAAGGAAGGTCTCACCAAGAAAGTGGCATCTGTAAATCTGCAGCTGCCCACCTCTCTCCAAGAACCTTCGTCTGCCCTCACCTGCGTGACATCCACAATAGAATTGTAAAGCTCCTGACAACCACTAGACCCTGCCACTCCCAAGACTCCATAATAAATGCCTTCATGCTGAAGTGTTAGCAGCTGTTCATGTTGAGCCAGGGGCGGGGGAGTCCCACACAGGAAGGCCTTAGCTCAGGAAGGGGCCTTGGGCTAGGAGCCACCCCTCCTCCCTGACTCTCTCCCCCACAGAAATTGAGTCTCACATTACAAAGCAAGAGGATATACTTAATGGCAAAGAGAATGAGATTAAGGAGTTGCAGCAAGTTATCAGCCAACAGAAACAGATCTTCAGGTGAGGGGCCTGGGCCAGGCGGGAGTTGTTGATGGAAGCAGGGAGCCTGACCTGTGGCCCCTACCCTGGGCCACATACCGCCTACGACCGGCCGGCTCCCTTGCAGGAATCACATGTCTGACTTTCGGATCCAGAAGCAGCAGGAGAGCTACATGGCCCAGGTGCTGGACCAGAAGCATAAGAAAGTCTCAGGAATGCGGCAGCCCCGCAACCCCAGCGCCTCAGGGAAAAAATAAAATATTCGTTGATTTTCTGTTTTTTGGCTATAATGCCCAACCTCTGTCTTCTCTGCTCTAGGAACCCTGCCTTTCACACCCCTATGGGTCACCTCCCTGAGTGACCACTAAGAAGGGGCAAGGGAAAAGGCTTGTGCTTACTTGCCTGTCTCCAGAGGCTCAGTGACCTGAATCAAATCACCAGGAACGGGATGGGGTACAGGCCTTGTGCCACCACCTGCTGGGCTCAGAGATGCTGTTCCAGCTCCAGCCCCTGCTGCATTCTTCCCTCCCATGGGTGGTTCTGGAGGTGAGGGGGACAGGATCTTCCTTGTGTCATGGGCACTGACCCTTACTTGAGGTGTTTAGTCCTTTTTTACCTAAACTGCTGTGAGTACCCTAATAATATCCCACCAGATTCTCAGTGCTCTGGTAAATTTTGAGCTGTCAACTGGACTGTAGGGCAGGGTTGGCGCTGTGTGTGTGTAAGCCTTGACCAACATTTCAAAGATAATCTGGGAGACCAGTCACCATCACATAACGAGAACATCATTCATGAGTCGAATTTGCATCTCACACCTCCCTCAAACCAAAGCTTGTTTTCATAAATGAGGGCAGGGAAATGACAGTGCTGTCTGTAAAGTGAGGAAAACATCTGGGAGAGGATCATGGTTTTCTCAAGTTAAACAAACAGCTGGATGTGATAGGCTACAACCATTTATCGCTGATGTGCCCCAGGGGACCACAGTGACACCAAGGCAGGGGCCAGCGATGCTGTTGAAGCTGTCTAGCCTCTGCTTGGTCAGTGTGGGCACAGGAGTCAGTGCTCTGTCTCCAGGGCCAGCGGAGGCCTGAGTCATTGCTAGACCTTGAAGCCAGAAGTTTAAGGGCAAACGGTGCCCATTGTCATAAGACAAAGACAGGTGGTGGCTACTTGCCACCAGTGCCAGACCCCAGGGCAGAACTGGAGGTTGTCAGGGCAGGAGAGAACTTTGTAAATGCCTGGAGGAGAGCACAGGGCTGTCCTTGCCTTAGAGTGCATAAAAGCAGGACCAGGGGCTGGAGATTCAGCTCAGCGGCATAAGCGCCTGCCTTGCCAGCAGGCAGTCGTGAGTTCGATCCCTGATACCGATAAAAATGAAAAAGACAAAAACAAAACAAAGGACCACACAATGCTGCTCAGGCCTGTCTTGGGCGCTTAGGCAGCTTGGAAAGCTAAAGCTGCCACTCCAGGCCCCTCCAATAATCCTGACCAAGGGAAAAAGCTCTAACCCAGAGGTCCTGGGTCCTGAGGCCCCAGCACATTTAGGGTGGGGTGGGGGTGTGACCTGTAGCAATGTTCCACCAAAGGTTAGGGAGTACCCCAGGTCAATGGAGCTCAAGAGTTCTACCTGAGGAAAGCCATGGGGCTGGAGGGGGTCTTCCCCCTTGAGTGAGGTGACAAGTCGAGGGCTGAAACTGAGGGAAAAACCTGCTGACAAGACAAAGCTCTCCGCTTGAAAATCTGGATGCCTAGGTCAAACCCTGAGCCTCAGACCAACGCTGGATTTTAGGTGAGCCCCTGCTGGACCAAAATGCCCTCACCTGTAATATAGGTGGGTTGGGTCTGGCTGCCTTTCACTTGTGTGGGTCAAAGCCTGGAGTCCCATCCAAGTGCTGGACAAAGGGGTTGATTCATCATGGGAGCTCAAAGGGTAGGGTTCTGGCCCAGGTCTTCCTGCTGTCAACGCTGCTGGCTAGGGAGTGGATGCGGCCGCTTTAAGGCATTCTGACCCCACGGCGTCTCCAGCGGGGCGGGGACAGAGCGGGCGCCACCAGCGGAGGCACTGTGAGGGAGGTAGAGCGCGGTGTCCGGCCCACCATGCTGACCGCACTCGTCCCGCCGGCCCGGCCTGGGCTCCCAAGGCGGCTGCCCGCAGTCCCCGCACGGCGCCAAGACTCCTCGGGTTCGTCGGGCTCCTACCACACAGCGCCGGGTTCTCCCGCGCCCCCGGACACAGGGTCAGACGCAGCTTGGGCAGACTGGCCCTGGGTGGCCCCCGAGCGGGGGGCGGGTGCGCAGCCTCGCCTGTCCGTCAGTGCCCAGAATAGCCATCAGCAGCCTTGGACCGGCTCGGGTTTCCCGCGAGGCCTGGGCTCCGGCACGCCACCGCCCCAGCCCCAGCTGCGCGTGCTGCCGTCGGGGGAAATGGAAGTCATCTTCGGCGCCGGGCCCCTGTTCAGCCGCTGCTCGGACACGGAGGATGGGATAGCACAACAGCTCTCGGCACCGTCATTCAGCCCCTCTCCGCCGAGGACAGCGTCTCCGGTCCCCGCCCCACCGCTGCCCTCGGCCCCCGACGGCGGAGCTCGCTGGGCTACCTACCTGGAGCTGCGTCCCAGCGGGCCGAGTTCCGCCTCCTCCGCTCAGCTTGAGTGCGTGGAGGTGGCGCTGGAGGAGCGCACTGCGCCAGTTAGGTCGCGAACAGTGCCCAAGCGTCAGATCGAGCTACGCCCTCGACCCCCGAGTCCCCCGAGAGAAGCCTGCAAGCAGCGCCCCCGGCTGCTCCTGCGCACCGGCTCCCTGGACGAGTCGCTGAGCCGCCTGCAGGTTGCAGCCGGCCTTGTGCAGACGGTGCTAGCCAGAAAGCTGGGTCCTGCGACCCAAGCTCCAAGTAGCGCCATCGTTAGGCCCACGGAGCGGAAAGAACCTAAGACTGGAGAAACAGTCCGCAGCAACCGATCTTGGCCACCCCGCGCACAAGAGAGTTCAGGGCCCGCTAGAGCCCCAAGGCCTTGGCCCAGCCTCCGAGAGCGCGCCATTCGGCGCGACAAGCCTGCGCCTGGGACCGAGCCGCTGGGTCCTGTTAGTTCCAGCATCTTTTTGCAATCAGAGGAGAAGATCCAGGAGGCACTCAGCCAGCGACCCAAGACTCAGTTACCCCAAGAGACACCAGGTCGAATCGTCCCGAGGGAACGGAGCCCGTCTTTGGAGTCCAGAGTCCCCTGGGAAGTTCCCAGTAGAGCTAAGAGGCCTAAAAGCCCATCTCCGCCGAGCCAGACCGCTAATGGAACCGTGAAAGATCCTCACTGCCCGTCCCCTCAGAACCTGTCCCCGGGGAATCGGACTGTCTGGAGGGTGAGTAGTCCTCCGTTCTGCGAAGCATCTTCCGCGTGGGAAAATCGGAATCCAGCCCTCGAGGAACCCGTCAGCAGGAGCAGCCCTTCCCCACAAACTCCCTCCCAGTGGACTCAGGGTGGTGCGAGAGCAAGGAGCCCATCCCCCGAAGTTCCTTTCCAGTGGAAGAGCTCGCCTCTAGCAGTACCGCGCACCGTGGGGCGGGGCAAGAGTCGGTCCCCACCAGCAGTGTGCCCAAGGGACGAGCCAGACTGTCCTATTGGAACGCGAAGCCCATCGCGCCAGGAGACCCGGGGACCCAGTGCACAGGGCTCCTCGATAGTATTTAGGCGGGAAGTTATGAATGGCGTAGCTCAGGAGTTGGAGCCGCCTACGCCATCTACACCTGGAACCCCACAGCTAACAGAGGTGCAGGGCCTGCCAGCGAAGGAATTGCCAGATTTTGCCTTCCGGGGCAATCAGCGGTCACCAGAGGCAGATGCACCCGAGCCGTCCCGCAGTCACCTCCTCAGCACCCCCGACACCGACGGGCGCCCAGGGGTCTTGGGCTGTGGAGAAGCGGTCATCGAACGCCAGCGCGTGGCCATTCCGCGGCCGCGAGATGTGCGCAAGATTCTGAAAACCACCTACGCGCCCGGCTTCCCCGCAGGAAGCTCAGGCTCAGGAAAGCCTGCTCCTCCCGCGGACCCTTGCGGGGAGGGCGGCCTATCGCAGACGCGAGAGTTCCAGGCGCAGGGGTCCCCCGCTCCGGCTCATTACACCTCTGTTTTTCTTAAAGACTTTTTGCCAGTCGTGCCGCACCCCTACGAGTCCCCGGAGCCGTCCCTCGACCCAGGTACCCAGGACGCCTTGCAACCCAACGGGGTCTTGCGGCGGAGGGCAGAAAACAGCACAGCGAAACCCTTTGCGCGCACTGAGATCCGCCTGCCGGGTGCTCTGGCCTCGGGCCGGCGGCCGGAGAGAACCCCGGCAGTGCAAGCGCCCCGTACCCGCCGAGAGAACGCCGGCGCCGAGGCTTCGCGCCTGGTCCCCGAAGGCGAGGGTCGGACCAGCCCCCTGGGCGGCGCTCGCACCTCCCCGCGGCGGTCCCCCAGAGCGCCGCCAGGACCCCAGCCGCCACGCGCAGGCTCTCCTCGGGCGCGCTCCACCTCCAGCCCCGGGAAGGCACCCAACCTGGAGATACCCGCGCTGGCGCCCGAGCCCGCAGCTGCCATCCCGGCGCCCCTGCCGCCCCAGCCGCGCGCCGCCTCGGCGCCTCCCACGGACCGGTGCAGGCAAGGCCCCGCCCAGGGGATTCGGAGGCTGCCCGGGGCTTCGCACCCGGGGAAGGTTCTGGTGGACCCGGAGAGCGGCCGCTACTATTTTGTGGAGGCGCCGCGGCAGCCGAGGCTACGGCTGCTCTTCGACCCTGAGAGCGGGCAGTACGTCGAGGTGCTGCTGCCCCCCGCGTCTCCGGGGCTGCGCCGCCACGTCTACACCCCGCTGGCCATGGGGCCTGGCCTCTACCCACCCGTCTATGGGCCCATGCCTGGCCTCGCACTGCCACCATCCCCGGGCCCGCCGGCCCTCGGTGGTCCCCAGCTACCTTGGTCCTCTGAGGCTGCGCCCCTAGACGGGATGTACTACCTGCCTTTGAGCGGGACCCCCAGCCCCGCCCCATCCTTGCTTTTCTGTGCCCCACCCTCCAGCTCGGGTTCCCCCCAGCCTGGCAAGCGCTCAGTGGCTCCTTTGTGAGGTCCAAGCAGCGCCTGATCCCAAGGTTGGGGCTCTTAGAAGGCATTGAGGTTCTGGTTCCCACGCCCCTGCTCTCTCCTCCAATCACCTCTTTGATCCTCCCCAGCTAGTGTCAGACCGGAAGTGAGCTTCAGCAGTGTATCAGAGATTGATGGAGGTGAAGTTCAGTAAGTGGCTCCCTACTTCCTACCCCCAAAATGTATCCCTTTCCCAGGAATTCCCAGGTATTCCCAGGTTTGGTGTGTTTGTGTATGCAGGCAAGCAAATATGAAAAAGTGAGGAGCCGGCCCAGGAGGTGCTGAAGTTCCCTCGGCAGCGGGAAGGGGAGAAGCAGGCACCAGGCTGCCCCAGAGGTGGTAGGCTGTCTGTCTCCCTGAAAATGGGATCCGTTGATGTGGAGCAGACCAGTGGGCCCTTTGCAGGTGTGTGTGTGTGTGTGTGTGTGTGTGTGTGTGTGTGTGTGTGGTGTGTGTGTGTCTGGGGGACTCTATGAAATCCATTGTTTGGAAGAAGAGCTGAGCTCTGGCCTGGTAGGCCAGTGGCCAGTGCAGCCTCCAGGCCAGGTTGGGTCTGAGAAAGAGAGCTGTGGGGACAGCAGGCAAAGGGGAAGCAAGGTAGTAACATAGGATGGGCCGTCCAGTCAGGCTTGGAACCCCGAGTGAGAGGGCTGGGGTGAAGGGAGCCCGGGTGGCTGTGGTCCTCAGTGGGGAGCCTAGCTCCCTCCCCTCCCCTCCCCTCTATCCCGTCTCTGGCTTTTCCTGAAGGCTGTGCTGGCTCGTTTTAGGGATGTGGCTTCAGCTGCTCCCACCCAGGTAGTGGGGGCAGTTAAACTGAATCACCAGGTAGGATTTAAAAGAGGAAGAAAGGAAGTGGGGGTGGTTGTTTCAAGGGGAGCCTCTTGGCCCCTGTGGGTGACTGAGGGTAGGTTAAGGCTGATTGTAGCAGGGATAAGGCACAGTAGGACAGAAGGGTCTGAGCTCTCAGCTGGGTTCACTTCCTTGTAGCAACAATGCTCAGAGAGGGGCTGGCCCTGCAGACTGACCCAGCACAGGAGAATATGGAACCAAACCTGTGCTCCTGAGATTCCAGGGACTTCTGAGAAAGGCTGAGAGCGCTAAGGGAAATCTGCATGATGAGGAAGGAGGTCTGCATGGAGTCTGTGGTTCTGAGCTGGAAAGGGCAGACAGGGCCTTGCTGGACCAGGATATGATGTGATACATTTGGGACGAGATAGTTTCCATTAGCAGCAATAGCATCAGGAATGGGAATCAGTGCCTTCCTTGGACCTGGGTGCCTTAGAGTCCATGTCCCCTGGACTGAAAGCTGTTGAGGAGAACTATGAGTCTGAATAAGTTGGACATCTCGGGTGTTGGGGCCACTCCTCACCTCACCCTGGTGTGCAATAAATGGCTGACCATGAGCCGTGGTGGCTGACATGACTAGTGTAATGTGCCTAATTTCCTACTGTGGCCACTTAGCACCCTTGCTGATACCCTTCCATGCCTAGCCATGGCCTGGTGGAGGAGACCCTGCAGCCCTGGAAGGGGACATGGGTGCCTCCCCCACTAGCCTCCCTGCCTTGGTGAACTTGCCTCCCAGGGAGGGAGCCCCAGGCTGAGTTCTTCCTGGTGGCTTCTTGGCCAGTGCGTTTTGGGGGTTAATCACACTTGGGTTCCAGTCTCAACATGGGTCCTCTAGCTGAGGGATCTGTCATTTCTCAGTCTTCATGTCCTTTGGGGCAGACTAAAGATGACAGTAACCAACCACCTTCTCCTGTGGGGTGCTCAGCACTTGGCCAGATCACAGCTCATGGAGCCCTGCATGTGGACCCAACCCTCATTGTTCCCTACCGCAAAATGGGGCTGAGTTGCCTAAAGCCTGGTCCCGCTAGAGAAAGAGCACACGTGGCATCTCCGGGGCCCTAGAAGAGGGGTGAGGTGTCAGTTCCCCATTGGTCTGGGCCAGAGGTGGCCCCACGGCACGCATACACACACATCCGTGCCCACCCACAGCCTGTGCTCACTGAGCTGGTTCCAGCGACCATGAGGCTGTCACTGTTGCTGCTTTTGGGAGCCTGGGCTGTCCCAGAGGGGCTCGGGGATAGGGCCTTCCTCTCTGCCTCTGCTCCACATCTGGATGAGGAGGAAAAATACTCGGCCCACATGCCTGCTCACCTGCGCTGTGATGCCTGCAAGGCCGTAGCCTACCAGGTGAGTCTTTCCCCTCTGGGGTCCCCTGGCCCCTGTCAGATCCTACCTGAGCCAGGCCTGTTTGTCTACTTTGGATTGCACCACTGGTCCTCGATCCTCAACTCCCAAACAGCACTGAGCCCCAGAGAGAGACTTCCATGATACTGTCACCCCCTCCCTCCACTGCCACCCCTCAGCTTCTGTCTCGCCTAGTTCATCTGCCCAACAGAGAGCAGATGATCTGGGGCAGCACAGTATTTTGACACACCAGGGAATCATTCACATGTCCTCTTTTAGACTCTTCTAACTGGACATGGTGCTTCATACCTGTAATCCCAGCACTGGGGAGGCTGAGGCAGGAGGATCACTGTGAGTTCAAAGCCAGCCTGGGTTACAAAGTGCCAGCCTGCACTATACAGTGAGACCCTGTCTCAAAAATAATTAAGGGCTGGGGACTTAGCTCAGCAGCATAGGCGCCTGCCTGGCAAGCGCAATGTTGCAAGTTCAATTCCCAGAACCACACACACACAAAATAATAAATTAATTAATTAGTTTATGCTACTGAGCAAGTGTGCCCTGAGGAGGGACCCCATGCCCAGGCCCAACATCCCACCTCAGCACTTCCCTCCTCAACCCAGAGAAGTGGACCCTGCCTCCACTGGCCCAGTCCCAGCTTTCGGCACCTGGGGCGGGGCCTGCAGCCTGCCTCACAGGTGCTTCCTGTTCAAACTGCTTTGTCTTCCCCTAGAGACTTGGGCTCCCCCTCTCCCCCTCTCCCCACACCTCAGCTCTCCTTGTTCCAGATGTGGCAACATTTGGCAAAGGCAGAGGCCAAGCTTCAGACCCCAGACTCCAGGGGGCCACAGGAGCTCAGTGAGTCAGAATACATGGATGTGCTGGACCGAAGCTGCTCCCAGACTTGGCAGGAGTGAGTTGTCTATCTGGGCCCTGCCTCTTTCCTCCAGGAGCAGGAACAGGCGTCCCCTGGTGGGGACAGACCCCCAGCCTCCCAGCCACCTCATAGCCACACTTCAGGGAGGGCTCGGGCCTGAGGGCACTGGCTGGGATGAAGTCCAGACTCTGGAACTGGGAGCAACTGGGTGTGCCGATGGCCAGCAGAAAGGTCACTGGGGAAGCTTGGACTTTCCCTCCCTGCGCTCGGCGAGTACCCAGTGTCCCCAGCTTGGTGTAGAAACAGGTCCCTTTGTGGCAGGACTACCACCAATGCTATACCTTCCCTTCCCACGCCACCAGCTATGGGGTCCAAGAAGTAAACCAAATGAAACGACTCATAGGCCCAGGGCTTAGCAATGGACCAGAGCCAAGCATCAGAGTGATGGTCACAGGAGGCCCCTGGCCCAACAGGTAATGAGGCAGTGGGAGAGGACTGAGGCCTTGGTTGCCCCCCTGCCTGTGGGCTGGGCAGTCTGAGGCTCCTGCTGGTCTCCCTTAGGCTCTCCAGAACGTGCTTGCAGTACCTGGGAGACTTTGGGGAAGACGAGATCTATGAAGCCCACCAGCAAGGCCGAGAAGCTGTGGAGGCATTGCTGTGTGGGGGCGCCCAGGGATCTTGCTCGACAGAGGCACCAGTCACCAGGGAAGAGCTCTAGTCCACAACTCCTCCTGGCGCTGAAGGGCAGCTGGACCTCCCCTGAATCTTTTCAGCGGGAGTTGAGGGGTGGGGGGAAGCTGGTTTAGAGCTGTCTCCTTTGTCCCTCCTCCACCCAGGGCACTGGAGCCGGGGAGGGACAAGACTTTCCTCTTTGGATTCAAATAAAACCCGGTGACTTGATGTCTCTCTGCAAAAGCTGTTGGAGGGGCTGGAGGTTCTCATATTGGTGTTTCTGCTAATATCCTGCTTTGAGAGGGCCCAATACACATTTTGACAACTCCTCATATGTAAGAGACCATAGTTGAGAAAGTGTGTCAGCTCTAAAGCTGATATGGAAGCAATTTATAAGCACAGGGACAGCCCAGGTCCTCAGATTCACTGGGAAGGAAAATTTTAGGCAGCCACCTGGCGGCCACTCCTAACATCTGTGTCCTTGTTACTATCTCCGCTGCTCCCTTCACTCTGCGCTCCAACTCTGATCCAGCTGTTACGGCTGCGCGCACGGGTGTCCACCCAGCACAGGACAGGGCAGCGTTTCTGGAACCAGCTGAATCAGCCTATGGTCTCTCATTCTGCTCTTTCCTACAATTCTTCTGGCCAGGGACCTTACCCAAGAGAAAAGGACCCCACATGGTCCAGAACTGCTACAATCTAGTTTCCTTCCTGAGTGTCTCTGATCCACTAAGGCTCTTGTCACAGGGTGGGAAGAGGTAATAAGGGAGACAAAGGAAGGTAAAGACACCATGTTCGTTTGCTTTCTTTGAGACAGGATCTTATGTAATTTAGTCTGGCCTTGAACTCACAATAGCCCAGGTTGGCTTTAAACTCATGGTGATCCTTCTGTTACAGGCAGCTGAGTTAATTAGAAATAGTGTAGGCTGTCAGACAGGGCTGGGCCCTCAAGAGGGCCAGAGGAGAAGTTCAGATACCTTACAGCCTTGGAAGAGACAATCACCTCCTGCTGTTGCCAAATCTCAAGACAAAAGGCAAAGCAAATAAAACCACATCCTAAGGATGGACAGTCCAGATAGTCCTGTATCACCCTGAGGAAGTCAGGAGTCAGCATCCTGCCGCCTACAGGAAGAGCCCCTGCTGTTAAGCATGCCTGCTTTGTAGTGACTGGCTCCCCCATTTGCTCCTAATTTAATCAGTTTTACCTGAGCAATTAACCTTATTTGTTGACCACATTCCGGCCATTTGCCCACCTTGCAAATTCCCATTTCCCCCCATCTAACCTCATGAATTTACTCTGTAAAAGTCCCTAGGAAAGACAGTGTCTTTGGCAACCCACTCGCAACCCCTTCTGTCTCTATGTCAGAATCTTTCTCTCAATAAATATGTTCTGCTCTTAACCTCCGTTGTTCCTAAAATTCATTCTTTGATTTTATACCAGACATAGTAGATTGGGAGTTTCATTCCTCTATATCACTCCTACCTCACATGCCCTTTTCCTTTATTACATTAAAACTTTGGGACAGATCTCTACTCAGATCTACAAGCAAGCATGCTCGGCACTCTGGGAGTGTCAGTGTTACAAGGTTTAATATTCAATTTGCATAGCCTATCTCATCTCCCTTCAAGATTGTGGCCACCAAGATAAGAGTAAAAGAAGGACATCTGATAGCCAGCTTTTACAACCCCCTGAAAGAATGCCTAGATGCTTCAAGTCATTTTTTTTTTTTTGGAGGGGTACCAAACTCACAACCTTGTGCTTACCAGGCAGGCACTATGCCACTGACCTATCTCCCAGCTCAAGTCATTGGTTAAGTCTGCAGCCACCTCAGATTCCAGATTTGAGATCAACTCCCAAACACAGTGGGAACAGTTATCCTACGACAGGAATTGAGGCTGCCCCCCTCAAAGCTGGAGCCTGGATCTCATCATGTTCACCAAGTACTTCCTCAAGTAATGATGGCCCTCCCAGGGCCTCATAGAACCAGTAGTAAGATGTAAACGAACCAGACACTGACTTTATTATAGACAGTTAAATTAGGTAAAAATTAATATTACGGCAAAGAGAGGCTGGGATACCAAGGAAGTCAGTGAAAAAAAATAGACATCAAAATTGTCATCGAGGTGTGTCTAAAGACCAGGCCTGAAGATAAAGATGCAATGATCAGGCCTCCATGCCTCCCCTAAGGGATAAGCAGTAATTTGAAATTATACTATAGTTGGTATCATCTGACCCACCTGACGGCCACCTAGTATCAATGAATTCGCCTCCTGCCACATTTATCCTCTATATGGACCTCTCGAGGGCCCAGCCCTGAGTCCCTATTATGTATGTATATATATACTATTTTATAATTATATATATATATTGTAGCCCAAGGTGGCCTTGAACTCACAGTGATCCTCCTGCCTCAGCCTCTCTAAGATTGGAATTATAGGCATGAGCTACCACACCAGGCTCCTATAATATTTCTAAATTAACTTGGTTATCTATAAAACTTATAATCTTATTGGTTGATTATAGTTTCACACATGTTGTACTCAAGATTTTACTCTATAAAACATTCACAGAAAAATAACGTTAAATGGGCATTGGGAGGTACAGCCTATAATTCCAGCACTCCAAAGGCTGAGGCAAGAGAACTTCCAAATAGTGAATTCAAAACCAGCCTGAATTACAGAGCAAGATCTTGTCTGAACAATAACAAAATTTTGCATTTTGGCCTTTTGGTTAAGATCAAGTGTTAAAAAAAAAAGTAATCTGATTTGACAGAAATGAGGTTTAGACAATAAGAGATTTAGACAATAAGAGACAGGTCAGATTTCAGGCTGAGGAGTGGCAGGGCTGGGAGGGGATTCAGATCTTATTAGTTGATTATGCTGCTACCGGAATGCAGTGTACCTAGGAGGCCTGGACCACTCCAGCTGCCCTGGGGGCTGTCCTGGACCTCCACCCCCCACATCCCATGCCCGTTCCAGGATCTGCCTGTGGCCCCTCCTTCCTTGGCCTTCACCCTAAGGAAAGAAGCTTCCGGCACCAGGAAGGCCAGGGCCAAAGGAACCGGCTGAGTCCTCAGGAGTGTGAGGTGTGGACTTGCCCGGACAGGCCAACCTTGAACTTGCAGCAAACCTGTGACAAGGACCTGTGTGGCCTCTGTCTGTGAAGATACTGCATCAGAGTTTGAATGCTGTGGGTCTCCTTGGTGACTGTGCATCTGGACGCCCGCACCTTCCCAACCTCGAAGGTGCGGTGGTGAGGTTTGGGTTGATTTCAGTATCCTTGGAGCTGAGTCTGTGGGGGTGGGGCATCTCCACAGCCCTCTGTGGAGCCCTGGCGGGAGCTGGTAGGAAGCTGGTGGGGAGCCAAGTGCTAAGGAGTTAAATGAATCCAAGATCAAAAGCCAAGAGGAAAAGGAGCAGACAGATGGACAAACAGCCAACAAGATTCAGGCTGTGCCCTGAAGCTGCTGTCTACCTGGAGAGTGGTGCTGCTTATGAAACCTCTGGGCTGGGCCTGACCCTGGGCTCAGCAAACCAGATGTAGGTGGACCCCGGGGTGCCAGAGCTGGTGCAGCCCAGAGAGCAGCAGATGGGGATCCCAGGCTTTGCCTTCATCTACTGAGAAGCCTGAGCTTCTCAGGTCCCTAAACCCCCAGGACCCTCTCAGACAGTCTGTTTTCAGGCCCTTGGGCCAGGCCAAGCAGCAGGTATGCTGGGAGGAGACACAGGCCAGGCACAGAACCAGCTTCCCGGGCTTTGTGACATGGATGTGCGGGGGAATGGTTCTTAGAAAGGCCTCATGCTGAGTTTAAAGCTCTGCTGTTGCTATAGTTATTTTGTTTTGGTTTGGTTTGGTTTGTGTTGTTTTTGGAGACAGAATCCCACAATATAGTTTAGGCTGGTCTTGAACTCACTGTGTATCTCAGGCCAACCTTGAACCTCCAGCAATCCTCCTGCCTCAGCCTCCTGAGTGCTGAGATTACAGGCGTGTGCCACCATGCCGTTTCTTGTTGGTATTTTAAAAATTCAAAATATTTTTGGAATAAGGGCCCTCTTCTCATTTGCACTGGGTCACACAAACAGTCAGCTCCCAGCTGGGAGAGGAAAGGAATCCTTGTCCACACACAAGGAGAGCAAGGGCTGCACTAAGCAGTGAATGGTGGAAGAGGCAAAGCGGAATTTTAGGACTGCTGATCCGAACCCTGGCTACCTGTGTGGCCTCAGTCAGATTATGCTCCTAAATCTTTCCTTGGCTGTCATTAAAAGGGTTAATATCAGCCAGCACCAAGGGTAATGCATGACGATGCATATACAGACATACTGTGGCCTGCATAGGACGGTCCGCAATAGCAGAATGGTTATTGCGATCATGATAAGGGCTAACTTGTTATTAAGAAGGGAAGGGCCTTCTGTGGACAGTGACAGGACAAGCCTGTGTGTACCAAAACAAAACCAAACCAGCGCCCATGTACCATCCTTTTCTTCCCACCTTGCTCAGGGCAGGGTAAAGTTTTAAGACTGTCCTCTCCTCCCCACTTGATTCTGTCCCTTGCTAACAAGGACAAGTCTTGTGCCAGGCTCGTGTGCCCAGGAAGCAAACATGGCAGAGGCTCAGGTAGCCTTCACCACTGCAACTAGTTAATGCCTCACCTCTGTGTCAGGTCCCCCTTTCGCAATCCAGCAATCCAATCCGGAGCCAGGGACCTGGTTATAGATTTACTTGGAACAATGTCTGGTGTGTGGAGTAAAGTCCTCCTTGGCCTTTGTAAAGTCATCTCTCTTCTCCTCAGGAGCTTCTCAGATTTTTGCCACAAAGATGAGGGCTCAGGAGCACCCGAAGGACCAGACACAGGTGCCAGGGGACCGGAGGGAGGGGAGGCGCAGTGAGTGGGGGCTAAGGGGCCGGACAGCCTCTCTGGGGAGCAGAGACAAATCTTGATGAATGGGTTACAGTGACAGTCCCACGGCAGATGAGGCAAATAGAAAATGCGGCAGAGGTGGAGGTGAGGGGGGCTTTAGCTTTGGGACTGGCTGACTTGAGCTTGGAGAGTAGGGGCCCAGCTTCTGAAGTGACACCACAAGGACCTCTCGGCGGCAGCTGGTGGGACAGAGAGGGTTTATCTGCTGTCTGGCACCCTCTTGGTGCCTCTGATTTAGGCTCCATTCCCATGGGTGGGGGCTGAGGGCTCCAGGCACTTTCAGCCGGCAGGAAGCAAGGGAAGTGGCGCCCAGTGACAGCCCAGTGACAACTAGGCGGATGGACAGTGGGAACAGATGGGGACCCCAGTGTGGACCTCACTCTGAGGTGCCACTCAGGCCACCTGAGTGATGCTGGGACAATGATGCCTGCCGGTATGGCTTTTCTCTGCTCCCCAGCAGGATCCCCAGGGCTCCGCAGGGGCTTCCACCAGGACCCCACAAATGCCCCTGCCCACAGAACCCAAATTTGACATGTTGTACAAGATCGAGGACGTGCCTCCCTGGTACCTGTGCATCCTGCTGGGCTTCCAGGTGGGCCATCCCCAGCACCCCACCCTGGCACACCCCAGGGACATCACCCTTCCCTACCCAACAAAGTTATCTTCGGTAAGAGGAAGAAAAGCCTCAGGTCAGCACAGTGACTGTCACAGAGCAGGGCGGGGAAGAGGGCGGTGGGGCCTGAGAAAGGGCTGCATGGGGACAGGGAGGAGGGCCAGGAAAACTTGGGAGGAACTAGTGTCCCCGCAGAGGGTGAGCGTTGGCTCTCTGGGAATCCCCACAGGGCGTGTGGTATGGCTGGGTGCACGCCAGGGTGGCCCGGCTCCAGGCCAACTAGCAGGCAGGCATGAGGACCTTGAGTGCCCCTGTTTCTGTGGGTGCTCTGTGGGCTCTGCCTCAGACACTCTCCTCTCGCGCCACCCCCAGCATTACCTGACCTGCTTCAGTGGCACCATCGCTGTGCCCTTCCTCCTAGCTGAGGCGCTGTGTGTGGGCCGCGACCAGCACATGGTCAGTCAACTCATTGGCACCATCTTCACATGTGTGGGTGTCACCACTCTCATCCAGACCACACTGGGCATCCGGTGAGCCACCCCTTTCCTACTCCGGATCGCAGGTGTGCGCAGGCACCCTGTAATCCACACAGCAACGGCAGGATCAAGTAGTCTTGTTCAGAGGGCTTTTATGAGGGGAAAAAACTCCAACTAACCTGGATATGGTGGCATACATTTGTACTCCAGCATTCTGGGATGCTGAGGTAGAATCACAAATTAGTGCCCACTGGGTAAAGAAAATGTGGCGTTCATGCACAATAGAGTATACTCTGCCATCAAGGATAAACTTGAGACATCTTGAGGTAAATGGATGCGCCTTGCAATCATACTTATAACTGAAACAAATCTGACACATATGTTTAAATATCAGATTGTTTCTCTTGTATGAGAAAAAAAAAGCATAAAAAAGGACCAAAATAGATGATAGATATTGGGAAGCAGGAAGACAATGTTCAAATGGGAAGGGGAAGAAAGGATGGGGAGGGGAGGAAGCCAAAAGGAAAAGAAAAGAAAAATGGAAACAAGGAAAGGAAGGGAAAAAAAGCTTGTGTAAATAAGGAGGGGGGAAGGTCTGGAGAGAGGGGAGGGGAATGGAGAAAAGAAAAAGAAGAGTCAAGGTGCATCATACAGGAACAAGTTTCCTCTGATGAATGTGATCATTATGTCTACCAAAAATTTAGCTGGTGCACATCTGTAATCCCAGCACTTGGAGGCTGAGGCAGGAGGAGGCCAGCCTGGGCTACAAAGTGAGCTCAAGGCCAGCCTGATCTACATAGTGAAGTCCTGTCTCAAAAATAAAATATAACAAATTAAATTAATTTTTAAAATTTAGAGCCCAGTCTGGACAATTAGAGACTTAGTGAGGCCAGCCTGGACTACATAATGAGTTCAAGGCCTGCGTGCAATACATAGTGAGACTTCCCTCCAAAAAAATTGTGTGTGTGTGTGTGTGTGTGTTTTAATTTGAGACACAGTCTTACTGCATCACTAAACCTCTAAATTATCCAGGCTGGACTTGAACTTGAGATTCTCTTTTCTCTGCCTCCCAGAGAGTGCTACCATGCCCCGTTTCCTCCTCTTATGGGTCACTCTCTGTGCACAGGGCCGCTCTTTTCCCTGCCAGAGTTGTTCTCTGCAGGAAGGAAAGGACAGTTCTGAGCTAGGGGAAGGGTTTGTCTTTGCGTCTGGCCTGTCCTACTGGAGGCTCAGTGACCTCTGTCTGCTTCACTGCTGCCCACGTACCTCTGTCTCCGCCCGTCTCTAATGCTCTGCCACCTCTGCCACCCTACACCTCTCCTCTAGGCTGCCCCTGTTCCAGGCCAGTGCCTTGGCATTTCTAGTTCCAGCCAAAGCCATCCTGGCCCTGGAGAAGTGGAAATGCCCGCCAGAAGGTGCGCCCATCTGGGAGTTTGGAGTTGGAAGAGAGCGGGGAGGCTCTGGAGCCTGCAGACAGCAGTGTGTATTCATGGCAGCATTTTTCTCTCCCTGTCTTCCATCTGTGCGTCCCTCTCTGCCCCAGAGGAGATCTATGGTAACTGGAGTCTGCCTCTGAACACCTCTCATATCTGGCACCCACGGATTCGAGAGGTAGGTCGAAGGGCCAGGGGCCAAGGAGGGCACTGGATGGGTGATGAGCTGGGAGGACTGGAGGCAGTCTAAGACCTGCTCTTGGCCAGGTCATGGTCTTTACATGGTAACTTATGGCTGACTTTGCCCTTCTAGATCCAGGGTGCAATCATGGTGTCCAGCCTAGTGGAGGTGGTGATTGGGCTGATGGGGCTACCTGGGGCCCTCCTCAACTACATTGGGCCTCTCACAGTCACCCCCACTGTCTCCCTCATTGGCCTCTCCGTCTTCCAAGCTGCTGGCGACCGAGCTGGCTCCCACTGGGGCATCTCAGCTTGGTGAGCAGGCACCAGGCCTGGTTCCTTCCCAGCCCCAACCCCAGCCCCAGCCTCTTCTGCCCCACTCCTCCATATGTTTTCCCCGTGGTCCTGGCTCCTGCCCCCGCCTGGATGCCAGCTGCCTCCTCCTGGTACTTCTGCCCCCAGCTCTATTCTCCTGATCGTCCTCTTCTCCCAGTACCTGCGCAATGTCACCTTCCTGCTGCCTGGATATCGCTGGGGCAAGGGCCTCACTTTCTTCCGCATCCAGATCTTCAAGATGTTTCCTGTGAGGAGCTGACCGGTTGCTGGGGCTGGGACTAGGGCAGGGCTTAGGTGAGGGCTTAAACCTATGCCCAGGGCCAAGGGGAGGGCAAAGGCAGAGACAGCACGGGAGCCGGAGCAGAGATGCAGTCCTAGTCAGAGCTGGAGTGGGTGTCGGCACTGGATCTGAATGCAGCAGGGGCTAAGGCTGGGCCGGGCTGAGGTAAGAGTGGGTAGCCTGGATGGAGACAGGGCAGCGCCCGCAGCTACCCCTCAACCCCTGCTTCAGATTGTACTGGCCATTATGACTGTGTGGCTACTCTGCTATGTGCTGACGCTGACCGATGTGCTGCCCGTGGATCCGACAGATTATGGCTTCCAGGCACGAACTGATGCCCGTGGGGACATCATAACTATTTCACCCTGGGTCCGCATCCCCTATCCCTGTAAGCACCCTTACTTGGGCCCCTCTAGCCCTGACTGGACACTTGTGAAATCCTTGGTGACCCCAATTCATCTGATGACTACAACTAGCTCCAACTAGCGCTAACCAACCCCCCTCCACACACACACCTAGACAGAACCTAAGGTCTTTGTACTAAGCTATGTCCTGGCCCTTTTTTATTTTAAGATAGTCTCACTAAATCGCTAAATTGCTCAGGCTGTGATGAAACTTGTAACCCTCCTGCTTCAGCCTCTCAGAGTGCTGGGATTACAGGCATGTGCCAGTGTCCCTGTACTGACAGACACATAATATGCCAAGAAGAGTAGTGAAATCTCAGACAAAGCCTCACTCCAGCCCCGAACCTCTCAATACCCAAGTAAGTTCCCGTAATTCCACGGCTCCTACCCCAGCTTGAGGCCTCGCCACCACCAGCTCATCTCCCCCTCAAGGATTGCCCTGTCCATTCCCAATCCTCCACAAGCTCCTTGCTGTATCCATCTTCTTGCCTCCACCTCCAGGTCAGTGGGGCGTGCCCACAGTGACCATGGCTGCTGTCCTGGGAATGTTCAGTGCCACACTGGCAGGTATCATCGAGTCCATCGGTGATTACTATGCTTGTGCCCGGCTGGCTGGTGCACCACCCCCGCCAGTTCATGCTATCAATAGGTATGCTCACCTGCCCACCTCAGCTGCCAACCCGCTGGAGGGGTCACTCAGGAAGCAGATGCAGGGATGGGCTTGAGAGCCAAGAGGGGCAGACTTGGGTGGCCAAGCCCCTCACACGTCCAGACCTTGTTTTCCTTGCTAGTTGAACAAGGACTCATCATGCTGAGTTTTGGGAGTGGTTGAGGAGGGAAACCACAGGCCTCAACAGCCTTCCTTGTGCCCAGCTCTCCCTGTGCCTTCTCTCAGGCAATCCAACAGCCGCAGCCAGGCTCCACTCCCCGGCTTCTCCGCTGCACGGATGAGGACATTCAAGTCCAATTGCCCAGAGGCATAAGTGCCAGGAAACTGGGACCAGTATCTGTACCAGGGCTCCTAGTTTCCAGATCTGCTTGTGGCCTGGGGTGGGGACTTTTCACACCATAGTGACAGCTCATAACCCCCCCACCCCGGGGCAGGAAGTGTAACAGGGTGATGGGAGGTTACAGCCTGTGAAGGGCTAGACTAAGCCCCTGCTGGTCCTTTTATTACAGGGGCATCTTCACCGAAGGCATCTGCTGCATTATCGCAGGACTGTTGGGCACAGGCAACGGGTCCACCTCATCGAGTCCCAATATCGGCGTGCTAGGGATTACCAAGGTGCCAGGGCAGCACAAAATCCCGTCCACCACTGGCAAGACCCCAAACCAACCTCACTCCCCCCACCCGGTCCTGGCCTAGCTCAACCCTGTGTTTGAGCAGGCCCGACCCCTAGCACAAACCCCCCCATCCCGTCCCGGGTCGTAGCCCCGCCACTGGCTTCCGGCAGGTGGGCAGCCGCCGCGTGGTGCAGTATGGTGCGGTTATCATGCTGGTCCTGGGCGCCATCGGCAAATTCACCGCCCTGTTCGCCTCGCTCCCCGACCCCATTCTGGGGGGCATGTTCTGCACCCTCTTCGGTGAGTGCCTGGCGCGGCCCCGAGTGCGCTGCACGGCTCACTCAGTCGTGGGACTCCCTCGGCCTTGAGGTGTCTGTGTTTTCTTGCCCCTGCAGGGATGATTACTGCCGTGGGGCTGTCCAACCTGCAGTTTGTGGACATGAACTCCTCCCGCAACCTATTTGTGCTGGGCTTTTCCATGTTTTTCGGGCTTATGTTGCCTAATTACTTGGATTCTAACCCCGGCGCCATCAACACAGGTGCTTGCTGTTTAGTCCCAAAGGTTGGGGTTGGGGTGGGGTTGTGGGCTGGGGATGTGTAGTTCAGCGGTGGAGAGCCTGCTTAGTTAGTATTCACAAAGCCTTTGGTCGACCCCAGCACAGCCCAGTCCCTCCGAAGCTTCATACAGGTAGAGCTACAAATCCTTTCCAACCCTGGACCTTTGTATGGGAGAGACTCATTGTTAGCTGACCTTTATTAACACACTTTCTGTGGACAGGTTTGGAGCAGTTTTTGACATATGCTATGTAATTCTCAAAAAAGCTCCATGAAACTGATACTATTGTCATTTCCACTTGGCATGACAACTAGCAAGGCAACAACTAGCAGCTGGCAGAACCGGTATTTGAGCCAAAGATGGGAGGGACAGAGGTGAAGAGAAACTTGAAAGCCAGGGCTTTGTGCAGTTCCCTCATGGTCAGCTCATGACCTAGCGCTTGCCAGGCAAACACTTATGCCCTGAGCTAAATGCCGGCCCTTTCCTTCCACAGGTATTCTTGAAGTAGACCAAATTCTGACAGTGTTGTTGACCACAGAGATGTTTGTGGGTGGATGCCTTGCTTTCATATTGGACAACACAGTGCCAGGTATGGATCAGTCTTACAAGGGTAGCACAGAAAGAGATTTGACTCATATGCAGTCCATCAGATGGCCACTGAGTTGGGTATATGGCCAGGTCTGAGGCCAGGCAGGCCCTGTAGGAGCAGGTGGGCTGCTGGAGTGCCTGCCAGTTATAGCAAAAGAGGCACAGACATGTCTTGTAGGTCTTGGAGTGGGTGAGGCCAGGAGTTATTTCTGGGTCCTATGAAATCTCTTTTCCAGTGTGTGTGTCTGTCCAGGGTCTCAAGCATACTAGGCAAGTGATCTACCTCTGAGCTACATCCTTATTCCTTTTTGAGACAGGGTCTGGCTAAATTGTCCAGGCTAGCCTTGAACCTGTGACCCTCCTGTTTCAGCTGGAATGCAGGTGTGCACCATCATGCTTGGCTCCCTTTATCATTTACTTTATTTTTTTGGTGCTGGGATCAAACTCATGACCTCATGTTTGCCAAGCAGGCACTTATGCCGCTGAGCTAAACCCCTGGTCTATCATTTCTTTTTTAATTATTTTTTTTTTTGGAGACAGGGTCTCACTGTATAGTTGACTGGCCTCGAACTCATGGTGATCCTCCTGCCTCGACCTCTCAGGTGCTGGGATTATAGGCATGTGCCACCATGTCCAGCTCTTTACCATTTTTTGACTGGCACTGTGTTGAAGGTTATCTTTGCTTTTATGGCGTAGTCAGATATAAACTCATCAGTTTGTTGGTAAAATCTATTCCAAATATATCAGACTACCATGTTGGATAATAAATTCCAACATGTACCTTTGGTAATGGAGCATTTTGAAGGGATTGTGTATGATAGTCTGTGGTATACCAAATACACATGTGCCCACCCAGTAAGCGTATAAAAAACAGGGCCAGGGATTCAGCTCAGTGACATAAGCACCTACCTGGCAAGCGGGAGGTCATGAGTTTGATCCACGGTACCAAAAAAAAAAAAAAAAAAGTACAAAAAATCATGTCATCAGGCACTATAATAAGCATGAATTAAGGGGCTGGGGATTTAGCTCAGCGGCATAAGCGCCTGCCTTGCAAGCAGGCAGTTGTGAGTTTGATCCCCGGTACCGATAAAAACGAAAGACAAAAAAAAAAAAAAAAAAAAAAAAAGCACGAATTAGACATGGAGCTAAGTATCTCATTTCACCCACCCTTAAAACATATGACCACATGGAGAAAGCTCATAATCACAGCATTCAGAAGGCCAACTTAGGATCACTTCGAGTTCAACACTAGCCTCAACTACGATGAGACCTGTCTCAAACAAAACTACCCCCCAAAACTAAAAACAAAAACTATGACCACAAAGTCAGTCTCAAAAGTTAAGACAGCACAAATCTTAAGTTAATGTCCGACACAGGCCCTGGCTATGTACCACCCACAGTGTCACAGAGCCTCTGTGAAGGGTTCCAGGGGATCTTGGCTGCTGCCTGGGGAAGCTTCATAAACTAACGGCAGCATCGCATAGGGACAGAGGGGAGTGGAACACCAAGTTTGGTGGTCCTCCACCCTCAGCTGCTTATCAGCTGGAACAAAATCACAGCTTTTGCCTGCCTCTCTGAAGCTCTGAGGGTTGAGGTTGGCAGAGAAAGTAATCAGGGCCTGTGTTCAGACTTGGGATGGAGGATGAGACCCAAAGCTCCTTAGATTCTTCAGATGACATTTTGTTTTTGAGACAGAGTCCTGTCATGCAGTCCAGGCTGGCCTTGAACTACGTAGTTCCTACATCAGGGTCTCACCAAGTCACTAAGTTTCCCAGATTGGGCTTAAGACTTTTTTTTTTTCTTTTTCCTTTTTATCGGTATCGAACTCACGACTGCCTGCTTGCAAGGCAGGCACTTATGCCACTGAGCTAAATCCCCAGCCCCTAGACTTTTTTTTTAGGGAGTACTAGGAGGGAATCAAAACTCAGGACCTCATGCTTGCCAGGCAGGGGCCATGCTAGAGCTATGACTCTGTCCATGGGTTTAAACTTCTGACATGTGCCATGCTGTCTGGTTAGACAAGAGCATTTTGGCATTAGCTGTCCCTTGGATAGATGGCTAGCAACTCAACACAACACTTACCTTCCCTTTTTAGAGTCAGGCTATGGCTTTAACAGTCCAGCTTGTGGTTCTGAGACAGTGAAATGGCAGCTTTGGTGCCTAGAGAATCTAGGAAGATAAAGGGCCTTTGAGCAGGCAGCTGTATAACCTCCTGGAACTACCTGGCTGTCTTTCATGTCACTCACCTGCAGCCAAACTGAGCTTCAGCAATCATCTATGTCATACCACGTAATCTTAAGTAGCCCTTTAATCTGCTTTGAGGAAGGACACAAAGCTCAGTGGTCAAATTACTTACCAAGGTCAGACAACCTGCATTCAAATTCAGGTCTGGCTGGCGCAAAACCCAGTCCTTAACCATGGATCAGCACTTAACTTGCAGGAAAGTCAGAAAACCACCCCTCCCCATGAAGACTGAATGTATGCCTTACCCTGAGCCACATTTCTAGCCCTTTTTATTTTTTCAGACAGGATCTTAAATTCCCTGGGCTTGACTAGTAGAATTTGCAATTCTCCCACCACAGCTTCCCAGAACCCTGGGATTACAAACTAGCACCACCACACCTGGGTCAGCCACTGTAAGGATATGGGTGCAGTTCAGTGGTAGAGGACATACCTAGGATTTGTGAGGTCCTGGGTTCAATCTCCAGCACCAGAGAAAAAAATTTTTAAATTACTGAAGTCTGCCCTAGGATCAAATTACAGGGAGAAAGGCTTGCTGGCCTTGGTAAATGACTCCACTGTCTTTTTCCAGGGAGCCCTGAGGAACGAGGCCTGTTACAATGGAAAGCTGGGGCCCACGCCAACAGTGAGACGTCTGCCAGCCTGAAGAGTTACGACTTCCCCATTGGGATGGACATAGTCAAAAAGATTGCCTTTCTAAAATACATCCCCATCTGCCCAGTCTTCAAAGGATTATCTCTGAAGTCAAAAAACAAGCCACCAGTTCTAGAAGACACACCAGAAAATACAGAAGCTGCATCTGTGTGCACCAAAGTCTGAAAAGTTCCTTCTGAGAAAGGTAGGATATGCTGATGACTTTGTGGGATGGCTGAATAATCAAAACATTGTCTCAAAAGAAAGCCTCAACTACTGAGTTTCCATTTTTGTGACCTCTCTAATGTGTCCTTAAGGGGTAGGTGGACTGGGCAAAAATATACGGCTTCTAGGTACAATTCCTTAGTGATTTTATAATTAGAAACTTCCCCAATTTACATTGCCTACTAAGTAGTGACATTTGTGAAAGACTGATTTTTCCCAAGTATCTGAGCACAATGTAGTCCAACTACAGTCCACCAGCTAATCATGTACACTCCAGTATGCTGAATACTGACATTTGACATGGAAAAGGCCAACAAATCCTGACACAGCAAAATGGAAATATCCTTTCCTATATGTTGTCCTGTTTCAGTGAAGATAATAAAACTTAGTTGTCTGAAGCAGGATGACTTTGGTAACCTTCAAACTATGCCAGCACAAGCCCAGATGAGATGATCACTTATCCCTAGGGTTTCAAATATATGCAGGTGATGATAGTGAAACCTGGCATGTCCACCAGGAATGCCGGATGCAGAGTGTGCTCTAAACTTAAAGTGGTTTCAACGTGCATGTTCTTCTAGGTGGACAAAAAGTTGTGAGGATGAGCCTTTTTGTTTTTTTAAGCACTGGAGATTGGACTAAGACTACTGAACCAGAGTCCAACTTAAAAAAAAAATTTACACGAAGTCTGAATCTGTGATCCTCTTGGATCAACTTTCTAAATAGCTAGGATGCCAAAGGGTACTTTCTTCGATAGTACTGGGAACTGAACTTGGGACCTCAAGCATGGAAAGCACACGCTGTACCACTGAGCTCACAACCCCTACTCTAGACTTTTAATAATAACACCAATCACACAGGACATTCTGTGTGTCAGGACTGTCTTCAGTATTTGATGTATAATAATAATCACACAATATCTGGAGGTAGATAATTCTTATTGTAAGGTATATATTCCTTACTGAAGGATTCTGAAATCTTTTGTCAGATTCTGGAATATTTGTATACTTTTTTGGTTAAATCTCTGTTTGAAATCTAAAATGCTACATGGGATGGCCACCCAATTTGCCTAGCATGTTAGAAGCCCTGTATCACAAAATAAAACACTCAATACTTTTTTTTTTTTTTTCCACATCAGATGGGTAATGTGCCAAGGTCGTAACAAGGTTCAAAGGAGGCACATGTCATGCATGGAGCATGAGCACCCAATCATCACGCTTATGAACCTGAGGGATCTCTCAAACAGTTTTTAAAACTGGCCTCAAACTCACCATGTAGCCCAACTCTCAGCAATCCACCTGCCTCAGCCTCTCAAATACTAGGATTACAGGCATGCTCAACCATGCCCTGAATGTGCCACTTTTGATCCACAGCTATTAGAGAACAGAGAGAGGACTGAAGGTTGAATCATAGCTTTAAAAAAAAGTCAAGTGTGATTGTCTATTTCAGGACTTTTTTTTGCTTTTTATCGGTACCAGGGATCAAACTCTCAACTGCCTGCTTGCAAGGCAGGCGCTTATGCCACTGAGCTAAATTCCCCAGCCCCACAGGACTTCTTTTAAAAACTCACCTATTACAGGCCTGACATGGTGGCACATGCCTGTAATTTTAGCATCCAGAGGCTGAGGCAGGAGATCATTGTGAGATCTAGTGGGGCCTACAGCCCCATTCTTTACAAAAAACATAGTTGTCTGGCTTGACCACTATTTCTCTGTTTGTAATACAGAGGAATATTTCAAATTCATTCCTTTTTGGTTTTTTTTTTTTTTTTTTTTTTGTCTTTTTGAGACAGGGTCTCATTATGTAATTCAGGCTGGCCTTGAGTTCACTTTGTAGCACAGGTTGGCCACCCACCTATTGCCAGACATGGTACACACCTGTATTCATAGCACTCTTTGAAGCTGAAACAGGAGGATCTTAAGTTTGAGCCTAGCTTGGGAAACTAATCTCAAAATAAAAGTAACAAAAGGCTGAGGAGGTCACACAGTAGTAAGACGACCCTGGGTTTAAACTTTAGTATCTAGGCCAGGAGGGGTGGCACATGCTTATAATTCCAGCATTCAGGAGGCTGAAGCAGGAGGATTGCTTTGAGTCTAAAGCCAGCCTGGGCTACATACGCTACATAGTGAGTTCAAGGCCAGCATGAATTACACAGCAAAGACTCTGTCTAAAAAAAAGAAAGGCTGAGAATGTAGCTCATTTTCCAGTACAGGAAAAACAAAACAAAACAAAACATAACCCCCCCAATCAACTATTTATTTATTAAGGTTGCTATTAAAAACTGAATTAAAAGGGTCAGGTGTGGTGACACATACCTGTATGCCTAGGCTCCCCCCCCCCCCCCCATTTTCCTAACATGGCTATCTACAACTGCCCTTACACTGCATTCTCAGGCAACAAAAAGCTAACATAGGGTGGTTGGTTTTATTTCACTAGTGTTCTGTGGAAAGATACATGCAAAGCAATATACTTAGTACTATGGATTCCAATGAACATGATTTGTATTAGAGTTCTGTAGTCTGGCACCAATAAACACATCAATTCAGATCTACTATTATTTTATTTTTTTAAATATTTTTGAAAAAATATAATTTTTTTACAATATTTTCAACTTAAACACTATTCACACTGAACACGTATGGCAGCTTAATCTACCCAAATATGAAGTTTAAGAAGCCAAAACTGTTCTAGCTTTGTTAAAAAGAAAAGTTGTGCTGCAGACCACTGTCATGATGGTTAACAAAGCAAGGAAAAGCACCATTCAAATCATGTAACAATCTATTTGTTCAACTGGATTATAGGCTGGTGTTTGTCCCAAATTAGGCTTCACACAGGTATGGCTGTGACAAGGTGAATCCTCAAAAGACAAGATTCCCAATTCACATACTCCTCAAATGTACCATTAGAAGAATTCAGTATTTCTTACATGGTAAAATATGAGAAAAGCCAAGATTAGCTCTATTATCAGCTTGTTACCTCAGTCACTAAAGACACAAAATTATTTCAAATTAAAAGACATTTTTCAGAAAAATTTATGTTTTGTTTTTTAGAGAAAAGGTCTGGTTATATATGGTTTAGCCTGGCTTGAACTCACTATGAAGGTGAGGCTAGCCTCCAACTCACATCAGATGAATCCTGAGGGAGAAGGATTGCTAAGGAGAAAATGCAACTGAGAAATCTGGAATGTAATTTAAATAACTGATTTCTACAAAGTGTAGACAGTAACAAGTGTTAGTTAACCCTAAGGGACAAGTTTAGCCTCAAAGATGACAATTCTGTAAGATTCAGAGTTCATTTAATTTGGTGCTTTGTCACAACTTGACTGGTGCTTCTTTCCTCGCTGTCTGTACATTAAGCCATGGGGCCAATTCTATATTCAGTAAGGGTTGACAGCTTTTTACTTAATAACAGTCTCAGCACTTTTATTAAGCATGCAAGACTAACAAAAACTTTGGCAATGCATAAGTGTAACACAGTGACAAGAGAGCTTTTACAATTAAGTCTTCTAATACTGCCTTCACAGTGTGGAAATTGTGCTACATCCACCAAAAGAGGGCCCCGTCTACTCAAATATTTTAGTACTTCACCCCAGGAACAAACTCCTTTGCATTTGGATTCAGATTGCTCTTGACCTGGAAAATAAGTACATAAAAAGTCAAGTTCATTACAAATGGCTTCAGATACTCAGAGGCATTTAGCCTAGATCCACATGCAAAAATCCCTTCATAAAAAATACAAAACAAAAACTCCAGATTTTTAAGGTTATACTTCACCCAACAAGTCTATAACAAGGAAAGGAGGATCCAGATATAAGCTAAATATTGCATAACATAAAGTTGTATCAACTTGCTAAAGTAGGAACTGAATTTAAGCTGAAGCATAACCAAAAACTGACCAACTTCACATAAAGTATTAATAAGAAATTCTGTTAATTTGATGATCCTTGACTTTCTTAAAACATTTTCGTATCATTCAAACATGTTAAACAAATGTTGAAATTGTGATTAAAGTAAATGAGACATTGCTGATAGATGATCCTCAATGAAAATATGGAAGTTGTTTTGCTACAATGGCTGTCTTCTAATTCCCACAGGAAACATGGTATGTAATAGGAAAAGAAAACTTCGTGGGGAGCCAGAAGATCTAAGTCTGAAATTCCAGCTCTGCCCCTAACTTCCTATGTGTGCCAGGATAAATCACTCTGAAACTCCATTTTTGCAACAATTTGAACAAAAGGGAGAAGTGGTCAAGCTGCAGGAGCTGTAGAGACTTGTATCAAAATTATTCTCAGTTTCTAAATCTTTACTTTCCTAAGCAGACGTGTCACTGTATAAGAAGAGTAGCTGGAAATTTTCTACTGCACTCTGGAGAGCAATGATTAAAAGAAAATGAGGACAGATTCCTGGGCCTAAACGCAGGCATACTGGTAGCCTTTTATATTGAATCGGTCTCCTATGTCACTTACTTGAAGACAAAAACATAGTATTAAACAACATACTGGAGCAATAATTTAATCTGAGTTTTCTAACATAACAATTTTCTTGGATGGATATAGTCTCCTTTCCCCCAGGGGAAATGTGGCTGACTGTTAAGTATATAGTTTAGGGGTAGGGATGTAATTTATCAATGAGAGCTTCTGCTCTGCATGCTTGAAGCTTTGGCTTCAATCTGCAGCATCACACACACATACAAAAGTCAAAAGTTTATAGTCAAAGAAGCAATATTCTTTTTTTTTTTTTCCTTTTTATGGGTACCAGGGATCGAACTCATGACTGCTTGCTTGCAAGGCAGGCGCTTATGCCGCTGAGCTAAATCCCTAGGCCCAGAAGCAATATTCTTTTTTTTTTTTTGTCTTTTTCCTTTTTATCGGTACCAGGGATCGAACTCACGACTGCTGGCTTACAAGGCAGGCATTTATGCCGCTGAGCTAAATCCCCAGCCCCAGAAGCAATATTCTTAAATGTACAACCTTCTGGGAATTACAGAAGAGTAACAAATGAATCTCAAATAGACTGAAAAGAACAAACCAGTTCAATGAATTAGATTTATATTAGGTTCAATTTAAAATTATACTGCACAAGCCAGGCATGTCTATACTCCCAGCACTGGGGAAGCTGGGCAGGAGGATCACTTCAAGTTCAAAGGCAGCCTGAACTACACAGCAACACTGTGTCTAAACAAACAAATGAACAAGCAAACAAACAAGGTTAAATAAACTGTACATTAAGCTTTGCAAGAGGCTTTACTCCTCAGGGCATGACATGACTTAATGTAGTCACAGGCAAGTATGCTGCAACAGACTTATAAGATTATACATCTGGTCCACTGTGTTAAAATCATTTACCCCCACAAGGTAAATTTCAGTGTTTTCCATATAGTCTTTTTTTTTTTTTTTTTTTTTGTACCGGGGATTGAACTCACAATCTTGCACTTGCAAGGCCGGCACTTATGGTGGAATACACATTTAACAAAAGATCATTGCAAAAAACAAACAAAAATCTCACTCGCACACAAAAAAACAAAACACTTCTGAGTTCAGTGGATAAATTCTAGAGAACTATTTGGTAGAAGCATGATTATACATGTGAATAGTCCTTCTGCCTCAGCCTCCTGTGTAGGTGGGATTACAGGTATGTACCACCATGACTGGCCAAAATTTTTCTGCTTTGAATTAGGGTCTCTATGTAGTACAAACTGGCCTTGAACTAACTGTGAAGGTGGCCTCAAACCCGTGATCCTCTTCCTTCAGCTTCTAGAGTGTGGGACTATAGGTGGGCATTATCACACTTATGCAAAAATTCTTTTTTCTTAATTTTGGTGAAATTTAGGGTTCGTTGGGTTCTACTTCAGTGCTAATGTTTAGTTATCATAGATCCTGAAAAACTTTTGACTGTAAATATATGACAGTGATGAAACAAAAGAATACCTAAAAATGTAAATCTAGCTTTGTTTGTGTTCCTTTTTTGCCATAAGCTTGTAAAATTTCCTATTTTTCACAGTTCCAAATGAACTGGACACTCTATAATTTTACACTGCTGATAAAATCTTGTAAATTTTGGGCTAGCCATGGTGGTACATGCTTATACCTCTCAGCTACTTGAGAGGCCGAGGGAGAAGGATCTTGATCTTAAGTTCAAGGCCAGCCTAAGGATCCTGGTAAGACCTTATCTCAAAATTAAAAAGGGATGGAGAAAAAAAATAAAAGGGTTAGAGATGTAGCTCAGTGGAAGAGCACGCCAAGGTTTAATGCCCAGTATCACAAGAACAAAACAAGCTGAGCAAGATGGCACTTTTATAACCCCAGCACTTGGAAAGCTGAGGCAGGAGGTACAAGTTCGAGACCAGCCTCGATGACACAGTAAGTTCAAGTCCTTGTCTCAAAAAATAAAACTTAGTGCAAAATTTGCAAATTTTACCAAATATTTAGGTCAAGATTAAAGAGCAAGTTACTTTTGTACAGACAAGTCCTATAGTAATACTGTGTATTTTCCTGGATTCTTTTAAGACAAATACCCTACGGCAATATGATGTCTAAGAGGGCTATAATGGCTGAAAGCAGAGGCAAGTCTGATAATGGTCTAAGACTCCACAGTGCTGCCAGAAGTCACTCCCTGTTATTAGAACTGGAGACTCTGCTTTCACTGTAAGAAGTGGCATAATTTTGGAAGGGAAAAGATGTGGAACTCTTAAATAGATGGTAGCTGGCTTTCCCCCACTTACAGGAATGATGAGTTAGGGTCTAAAAAGATGAAAAATAACTTTTACCACAAGATCTTCCAGAGAAGAGCCATCACTGATAACAAGGTCATTAAATTGGTCTTGGATTTGGTCCATAGTTTGTGGGAGATCTCGAGCTGGAATAAACCACTCGTGTTCTTCTTCCTCTTCCAGCATTTCTTGGAAACAGCGTTCAATAAATTCTTCTTCCCACAACTCCTCTTCTATCTAGATTTATGATAAATAAAAGATAATTTATAGAATACTTAGTAACACACCTTTAGAAGTGGCTGAAAATAACCCACTTAAAACCAAAATGCTGAGCCAGGGATTTAGCTCAGTGGCATAAGCAGTACCTGCCTGGCAAGCACAAGGTCATGAGTTCAATCGCCGGTCCCAAAAACCAAAACAAAACCAAAATGTTGGGGTTAGGGGTGTAGCTCAGTAGTATATCACATGTTTTAACACGTACCCTGTCTGGGTTTAATCCCCAGTACCAAAAAAATTTTACAAATAAAAAATGTCAAAAGAATTATTTTTTCCAGTGATGTCTGAGAAACAATTAATAAAGGAGTGCTTTCTTTGATGAATGTGTATCAGAATTACCTGTGATACATTAGAACAGTACAAACTCTCATTCAAACCCTAAGATAAAATCTCTTGGAATCAGAGTCACAGCATGAGTAATCAAAACACTCCCTCCCCTCACAAATCCTAGTATGCATGAGACCCTGGGCTCCATTTCTAGCACTAAACAAAACAAAATAAAACGTACCGACTTATTCTTACTGAAATGAGATTGAACTGTTTTAGTCTAGAAGAGTGATAGCCAATCTTTTAGAGCTTTTCACATTACAGCTTGCTGTGGCACACATGCCACAGATTCTCAACTGCTCTAGAATGTTCATCACTGGATATGGATATGTCAAGTTTGCTACTAATTACCAAAACTACAAATCAATGGAGAAATGAGAAAAGATAGAAAAAGATGCACACAATTTTCTTTTGTCTTTTTCCTTTTTATCAGTACCAGGGATCGAACTCACGACTGCCTGCTTGCAAGGCAGGCACTTATGCCGCTGAGCTAAATCCCCAGCCCTGAAGCACACAATTTTCAATCCTAGTATCTGTGTCCATCTGCTCCCAATTCTAGAATTTCCCCAATTTGCACTGTAATACAACACTGCTGTAATAATGGTTCCTGAACCAGATTGCTCATGGGAACCACTGGGAACGTTTTAAAGTTTCCCAGGCTCTGCTCTAGTCCTTTTGAATCAGAATCTCCAGAGTGGGACCCTGAAACAAGATCCCTAGGTAATTTCAATGAGCAGTCAAGCTTAGTAGTAATCAGCAGCCAAATAAAACAAATGGTAGCATATGACCTCACACAGTATTTCATAAAAAGGATCAGATAAACACATTTCAGGGTCAAGTACAATCATATGAAGGACTATAAACAGTATGAAAAACATTTATACTCCAAACTAACTTGTCTGTTAAATTCCTCTTCATTTTCCATCCACATGTACTCTGCAAATGGATTGTCATCTTCATGAGAATGACCGTTAATAATCACATCTTCGTTGATGATGCTTGGGCTAGTACTGCTGCGACTTGGATCTTTCATGGTTGGAGTTAGTTGGCGTTTTTAACCTTAATAGAACAACAGAGTTAATCTAGTTATTTTTTCAGTACTTAGTAAGCATTAATTTATTATCAGGCATCATAGCTGGGTATCAATAGACACATGATATAGTAAGTAACTGGAAACTTTTTAATGTTTTAAGAATTAGCTGATGACATTCTAGATATCTAATGTTTTCTGGTAATAGTAAATGAAAGTAGTCAATTGCTTTTATGGACTCTCCAAACTATCCAATTACAATTATATATATCCCTTGTTTTATAAAACAAGGATGCTTATCACTTAGTCATCAAGTGAAGTGATGAACACCAAATTACTTTAAAATCGATTTCCTAAGTCCAGAGATTGGAAGCACAAATATACTTTTAATAACCTCTCAAGTTCTAAGTCCCAAGGTATCTTGGGATCTGTCTTCCAGAGCACACTATTTGTTTTTTCTCTGGGTTCATGTTTAGTTCTTCTATGCTTGGATATTCCTGAGAGGCAGTGAGTTTCAGGCATCTAACCTCTTTACCTAAGTAAACAGTATCAAATATAGGTTGAAGTTTGTCATTAAATAATCTACTCAATAGCTGATAATATGATATAAACTAAAAGTTTTTTTAAGACTAAAATTAAAAGCATCAAGTATTAGATTTATAAGTTACTTACATATAAATTCAAGTAATAGTATGACTTGGGCCAAGGAAAGCAGTATACCTAAAAAAGCATATTTCTTTCTTCTTTTTTGGGGTGGTGGTAGTTTCCAAGACAGGGTCTCACTATAGAGTTCAAGCTGCTGCTGAACTCACTGCGTTAGTCCAGGATGGCCTCAAACTTGTAGTAATCCTTCTGCCTCAGCATCCCAAGTGCTGAGGTTACAGGTGTGAGCCACTTTATCCAGTGCAAAGTTCTTATTCTTATACGCCAGTTAAAAAACCCTATTAGGGCCCACTACCCCACAGTTATAATTAGTTTAAAAACCAAAACTAAAAGTCTAGAATTTTATTTATTATATTTTCATGTGAGTGAAGGTATAGAGGAGGGCCTTGTTCCAT